GCCGCCGCCAAGTGCAGCAGCCCATCCACGGAGCTCAGCATCACCTCCAGGGGCGTGACGCTGCTGGTGGCCAAGACCAAGGCCTCTCCAGGTAAGAGAGACTGGCTGTCTTCCTCAATGTTTGTTAACTAAGCAGACAGACATAGAATGTGTGCCATGTCCTGTGTGCAGGGCATCGGGGTATTGTGAACAAGTCAGCCCTGAGCTCCTAGTATAGACAAGGTGACGTGACTGAGACAGTGTCACAAGTGTGGTGATGGGGAAGCACAAAGGGCTGTAGGAGCATACCAGGAAGGCTCCCTAGAGGAAGTGACACCTGAGCTGGGACCCAGTTGTTAAGTAGGAGTCATCCAAGGAGAAGGGCATCCAAGGAAAAGGACTCCAGGCAGAGACCAGAGGTTAGCTGTCATAACTGACATAACTGTCATAAGAGAGCCTGGGGGCATTCGAGGAACTAAAGGAAGTTGAATGTGTGGAGCTGATCCTCAGGTGGTCGAGAGGGGCCAGGACAGGAAGGCTATGGCTAGAGCAGGCTCCCCACCTCCACCAGTTCTCTGTAGTGGGGACTGAATGTGCATTGTCAGATGATGGTGGCATCCCTGGCCTCTCCCCATGAGATGCCTGTAGCACCCCTACCACCACCCCAATTATGACAACTAACCAGGTCTCCAGACATCACCAAATGTCCCCTGGGGCGCACAATCAAACCACTGGGTTAAAAGAGTGAAAGAACAGTCCTGCCATGGTAAAGCCCCCAGGGTCTAGGAAGAGTGGGGAGTTGTTAACACCTTTGGGCCCCTGCAGGCCCAAAGGTGTGTCACCAGCACAGGACGAGCTGGAGATGTAGGAGAGGGCCTACATTGGGAGCTGTGGCCAATGGGAAAGGTCCAGCACAGAGGGTCCAGGCAGAGTAAATGCCCAGAACTTTCTATGTCCAAAAGGCAGGAGGCTAGGAAGCCAAGGAGGTGCCTCCCTGAATACAGAGTGTGGCTCTGGGGACACACGGATAGTGACTGGCATACCACCACACGGCTGGGGGATCAGTGGTACTGGGCACGTAGAGTACACACGATGTGGCTGGAAGAAGCCCCCCAAGGCCAGGGACCCAGGCTGGTCATCATGGTTTTCCGTGGAGACCAGCACAGGTGACAGCCCCCCTCAATGTCCTCTGCCCCCTATTCTCCCTCACATCGCTTCTTTGGCTCTCTTCCAGCAGGTAAGTTGGAAGCCAGAGCCGCCCTGAACCAGGCCCTGGAGATGAAGCGCCAGGGCAAGCGGGAAAAAGCCCAAAAGCTCTTCATGCATGCCCTCAAGATGGATCCGGACTTCGTGGACGCACTCACCGAGTTTGGCATCTTCTCAGAAGAAGACAAGGACATCATCCAGGCGGACTATTTGTACACCAGAGCATTGACCATCTCGCCCTACCATGAGAAAGCGCTGGTCAGCCGTGATCGGACGCTCCCACTCGTGGAGGAGATCGATCAGAGGTATTTCAGCATCATCGACAGCAAAGTGAAGAAGATCATGTCCATCCCCAAGGGGAACTCGGCTCTGCGCAGGGTCATGGAGGAGACCTACTACCATCACATCTACCACACAGTGGCCATCGAGGGCAACACCCTCACCCTCTCAGAAATCAGGCACATCCTGGAGACCCGCTACGCCGTGCCCGGGAAGAGCCTGGAGGAGCAGAACGAGGTCATCGGCATGCACGCGGCCATGAAGTACATCAACACAACCCTGGTTTCGCGCATCGGCTCCGTCACCATCAGCGACGTGCTGGAGATCCACAGGCGGGTGCTGGGCTACGTGGACCCCGTGGAAGCGGGTAGGTTTCGGACGACACAGGTCCTGGTCGGACACCACATCCCTCCCCATCCGCAGGATGTGGAAAAGCAGATGCAGGAGTTTGTACAGTGGCTCAACTCTGAGGATGCCATGAACCTGCACCCGGTGGAGTTTGCAGCCTTAGCCCATTATAAACTCGTTTACATCCACCCTTTCATTGACGGCAACGGGAGGACCTCCCGCCTGCTCATGAACCTCATCCTCATGCAGGCGGGCTACCCGCCCATCACCATCCGCAAGGAGCAGCGGTCTGAGTACTACCACGTGCTGGAAGCTGCCAACGAGGGCGATGTGAGGCCTTTCATTCGCTTCATCGCCAAGTGTACTGAGACCACCCTGGACACCCTGCTTTTTGCCACAACTGAGTACTCGGTGGCACTGCCAGAAGCCCAGCCCAACCACTCTGGGTTCAAGGAGACGCTTCCTGTGAAGCCCTCACCCTAGAAATCCTTCCTCAGTGACAAAGGATGTCCTGAGGTTCGGGGAAAAAAAAAGAAACAGCATTTCTAGAAACCTAGTCACTTTCCAAAGCAAAAGGAGAAACATTCTTTACCTCCAAATGTTTAGTTTAAAAAAACAAGAAAACACTTAAGTTATGAAACCTTGTCTCTAAAATAACTTATAATTCAAGCAAGCTATTTATTTTCTTCTTTGGAGCAAGCTAGTCAGTGTTGTGTGGTGTCTGCTGTGTCTTGCTGGTGGCTGTACTTTAGGGGCAACAGTGCCACCATGTGATCAGAACACAGGTTCTGGAGCAGAATTTGCACTAAGGGGGAGGAGTGGCCAGATGTGGGACAGGGCCCAGAGCCACTGATATAACGCCTCCAAGTACTTCTCTGAAACGGGCTGAGAGGTTCTGTGACTGCAACTGGGAAGTCAGACCCAAGTCGCAGCTGAGAGAAATGGTTGAAAGCTCACTTTCTTGAGGTTTAGATTAGTGGTGACTAACTTCCAAGCAAACTTCATAGAAGAGAAAATGAATGCTGACATTCCTTACCTCCAGGAACTTTTTGAGCCATAGTTTGCAAACTTTAGTGCCAGCGGCTGTTTTTTTCCATGTTGAGACTATTTTTCTAATTAAGAATAGGGGGTAGCCATAAAGAGCTGTATGTTGGAGGGGGAAACATGGGGGGTGGGCAGTTTGGTTTTGTGTATTGGCGTTTCTCTCACACTTCATTTGTAGTAACTCAAGCCAGATGTTTTCGTCTAAAAGTTCTCTGGGCTTGTCATTCCACCTGTATCATGCTGCCAGCCAGGTGTTATGCCAGTAGGCATCTGCCCTCACCCTTCTGCCTGAGTTTTCTGTAGGTAGATGTTAACCTGAGAAAACAAGTGCCACATGGACATCAAATAAGCATTTTTGATAATGAATTAGAGCACCAGTTTCTACTGAATGGAGCAAAAACCTTCAGCCATGGCCAGGCTGCATCCCTCTGGTCCTGGAGTTTCATCTACTTACTGCCTGGACCCCCACCTTCCACGGCCTTTGCACTGTCCCATGTCCCGTCCCCCATGGGGAGGCAGAAGAGATTGCCTCAGAGTGGCCTTATTTTTTTCGCAACTTGTGAAATGATGCAGTGCTCTATGTAATATGGCCGAGTCTCCAAGCGCTCCAATGGAAGTAGAATCTTCTCTTTCAATCATATGGCACAGCTGCCAATATGACTGCTGCTATTTAGAGTCAGAGTGGTGGAAGTCACTGGGTCCCTTTCCTAGTGACGGAGCCCGTGATGTCTAACACTGTACTGCACTTTGTCAGCGTGTCAGTGATGGCGAATACGCAGTGTTGTCTGATTTGGGAATTCCATTCCTGACAGTAATGAGGCCACTGCTCTAATGTCGTTTATACAGTTATTCAGTTGTATAAATAGCACATTGAGTAGTTTTTGAAAGGTTAAGAAAAATAAGTGAAAAGATATATGAAATGGCTCCAAATAATAATTATTCAAACCTCTATAAAATATGTTTTCATACTCTTATGCTGCCAGAGGTACTTCTTAAACTCTTCTCATCTTGGTTTTATAAGCACACCAAGGAGGTCTGACAGATATGTTTGCTTCTACTATAGAGCAAGAGAATTTGCACTTTAGCTATATGTGAAGGATATTATTTTAACAAATTCCTGATTCTAATAAAGTTATTTTATTACATGAATGCCTGAGACTTTGCTGTCTTATTTGGGAGATGTTCCCATCTGTCATAAGGGCAATGGGGGTATTCTGACCTTCGGCCCTATTCATAATACTGTTCTGGGAGAGCAACAGATCCAAGATGGTGATTTCCATGGGCAAGCGAGCCAGATGTTGGATAAACCGCCTACCTAGGTGGTTAGGACAAATTACTGATTTTTTTTTTTTACTAAGACTCAATTAACTGGAGTAGTTTTTCATGTTTCTATTTACCATCAGTTCTGGATTTTCTGCAGAAAACACAAACCCACTCATGTGCTCCTGGAAATCCATTTCTAGAACAGTCAACACCCCAAACCTAAATTGGGTTCTGCTCAAGCCCGAAAAGGTTTGCCCCTGTAACAAGCCTGGGTTGACATCTGCAAGTATGACATTAAGGTCAGAATACTGGCTGCAGGCAAGAAAGCCAAACCGTTAATGTGAAGCAGCGAAAAGTAAGGCCACACTCACCCATAGTGATGTTCACGGCTCTTCACGTGTCAGGTCCCCAACCATGAGGGCTCCCTCTGAGCTACCCAAATCATCTCACCAGCTGAACAGCCTTCCAAACAGCATCACAGAGAACACTGCAGGAAGAACACGTGGGACAGCAAAGGTTCTTGCTGCTGTCAACAGCCAGCGCTTGAATTTAATTCAGAAGTCTAGTAAAAAGTTTGTTTTGTGTAAAAAAGAGACGGAGGGGAACTTACATTTTAAAAGATGTAAGAGGCTTACGAACCAATAATTTACAGGGAGGAGAGCTGATATTTATAGGAAGGTGGAAATTTGAGTGGACAGTTGACATTAAGGGATTACCACTAATGTTTCTAGGAGTGAAGGCCTTTCAGTCCTGAGACACCTGCCACAACATTACTGGACGAGCACAATGACATCTGGAACATGCCTCAATATAACAGAAGGTGGAAGGGAGACAGACATAAAGGAAAAGGGGCTGGGAGTTGAGGAATGCTGGAAGCTGAATGGTAGGCACACAGGAGTTTATTTTACTGTTCTGTCTACTTTTTAATCGGTTATATTAAAAAATGTTAAGTTAAAAAAATATAGAAAAGCCCGACTGATGCACAAAAACTTACACAACAGATAAATGAGGAGTTGATTCCTATGACATACACAAGGATTCCCTGACATCTTTCTCCAGAGTGTCTTAATAAAGTAAGCTTCCCCTACTGAACTGGCAATGCTGTTTTCAAAGCAATAAATATTTGATAAAGATGTGAGGTAAAAAAGCTCAAAAGCTCCAGTGTCAAACTGCTATAAACTGAATTGTATAAAAACTGAAGACACATCACAGCTGAAATAATTTAAATCAAAGTGACAATGGGATTTGACTTACAGAAGCTCTATTTACACATCTATTAGGTAAAGCAAGGTACACCCACTTCAAAACACATCTGTATGTGAATGCACATCTGAGTACCATTCAGCAAGAAGTTTTGAAGAGAACTTCAGTTTAATAAAGCTAAATGGGGAGAATTGAAGTTTGCATTTGACATGGTATTAAACAAAACCAAAGGGCTGAACTCATGTTTAGACAACACAGGTCACTAGTCACTAGGCAAAGAAAACAGTCCACAGCAGGTGGCACAAATAATTCCTATACAAAACAAATGTTGCAAATATTCTGCTTTTAGGAAACATGAAATAATGGCTGACATGTCATTTACAAATACATAATATAAAAATGCACAGCCCCCTTGAACAAAAATCCAGCAAATGTTTTATAGATGACTTCCCTCAGACCCACCCCCGTAATAGGCCATTCTGGTGAATTACTAGCATCTGCCATTTCATCTTTTAAAATTAAAAGAATGACGGGCACATGTGCTGTGCAGTGTAGAAGAGAAGTGTCATACAAAAAGGGGCCGGAGCTGGCCAGAAACATTTGGACAACTGCATCTCAAAAACCGTGTTCTCGTTTCGCTTCTGTGCCTCAGTCTTTAAGACACAAACGTATCTTGGGACACCACATCCTGGGCCCAGGGAGCCTGCAGAGTGGTCACTTTTCTGCCACTGCCCTCAATATGAGGGAGCACTGAAAGGCTCTTGACTTAGAACCCCTTCCCCCTTTCTGTCTAAAGCAGAGGAGCCATCTGTGGTTGCGAGCGGGCAGCACACCAGGCCTGTCCATCCCCAGTGCACCGCGGGGTGGTGGGAGGTCCGCCGGGCCAGAGTGAAGTAAGGCATTTCCTGTCTCCCAGAGTCCCGTTCACTTTCTCAGAAACAGCTTGGCAAAATCAGCATTGGACATCTTGGGTGCCTCGGTGGCCGCTGAGGCGGCAACTGCAGGAGCCGCGGCAGGGCCATTCTCGGCCTGAGGAGCTGCAGCACTTGGGCGCTGCAGGGCACGAGGCAGTAGAGACAGCTGCGTCCTTCCCTTCCCCCTCCTAGAAGAGCAAACACTGAATGGACCTTTTGAAGCAACAATTTGTGGCCCCTCATTTATTTGTAAAAATAAACCAAGATAGTTTTAAATATAACCAGAAGCTAAAAGGGGGAAAAGAAAAAAGGATGAGATAATCCCTGCCTCCTTAATTCTGGCTGTTAAGTAAAAACTGCTTCGACAGACTTGGCCTTGTTCAGTTTTGGCAAAGATCAACCCTGAGCACCAGTCGCACTCAGAGGGGATCAGTGTGACTATCACCTCTCAGACCTCCCCAGTCACCCGGCAATTCTGCTATCTCCTCCTCATCCCCAGCAGGCAAAAAGCACAGCTTATGTGGATCATATAGCTAGGGCTGTAGACTGGCACACACGTGGGTATAAGATTTCGTTTTAAACATAGCTCCAACTGGCAAAGGGGACTTGAAAATAATCACTGCCTTTAGTTTTGTCTGAAATAAATGACAAGTGTAAATTGGCCAGTACCAGGCAGAGGTCACTGCCTAGGCTTGCATCCTGCTCTGGACGCCTTGCTCCAGTGGAACCACAGTGATTACCACAAGGAACAGCACGTCTTGGCTTTTCTGTCCTAACAGGAAGCTAATTCATGCCGGGTTAATCCCCCCATGGTCCATGAACTGGTGCCAGCCAGGACGAAGTTTGCACTAGTCTACCATGCAAGCACTTACGCTCCGTATGTCTGCGGCAAAAGCATGGGGCCACCTGGTGCCTTCCTGGTCTCTGGCTTCTCTGGAACCTTCCTCTGAGGAGGGTTGCTGATTGCCACTTTGATGACGTTCTCTTTGATAGTCATGCCGTCCATCTTCATCACAGCCTGCGACGCCTGGGATTCATTTTCATACTCCACATAGGCCAGGCCCTGGAAGAGGCAAGATTCAGAACCAAGTCAGATCCCACAGACCAGGGACGTAACCTCCTCCCACAGGGCAGGCACTGGGCTTCCTCCCTGAGACCAGCAGACCAGGCCACAGCAAATGACCAACCAACAGGTTACCTTCCCCACCACTGCATCCTCTGTCTACAGGCTTATTTCCCCACCCTACTCTCCTTCCCAACTGCTGCTACGCACTGTAACTTCAGATAACCCTTCCAAGTTCAGTACACCTTGTATGTGCTGCAGAAGTAGAAAGAAAGAAGGAAACAGACAGATGGACCAGTATAAATCCAGCAAATAAACCAAGAGGTGGATGGGACACAGGGCCAGCAGCCCAGGTGCCCAGGTGAGCCCTTGTGTTTCTGTGCCTTCACCCACTCCCTCATTTCATCCTCTTTTTCTCTCCATTAACCTGGATAAAGGGGAGGGAGAGTGGGCGGTGGGTAGACAGTAACAAAACCACTTACTACACAAAATGGGGCACAAAAGGACTTAGGAGGAGACTGAGCGTGCAAGAAGGAAGGACAGTAGAAGAGGCACTGCAATGGAGGGACTCAAGGGGCCTGGCCGGAGGCCCCAGGGAAAGAGAGGCCTGGGACAGAGGGAAGAGGCTACAGGAGGGTGCCCACCCCAAAGCCCATGTGCTGCTGGTCACAGGGCTTCCCCCAAGCCCCACAGCCAGGGGCCATAGTGTGGTGAATTCATGATCATCTATTTCCAACTGCTTTATTCTTTTTAGCACAATTAACTACAAACAAGTTAATCTGACTCCAAATGTAAGTAGAGCTAAGTGTGCAGATCTTTCTGTGAAATTAACTTTTGTTTCTCAGCAGACAAACTAGGAATCCATTCTAGAGGCTAAATCATCTTTGAACAGAGACAGACAGGAAGCTTGCCCAAGCCTTGAAGACAAGGCACGATCTGCTCTGACTCTGACCTTTGGTTTGCCAGCCCGGTTGGTGACCAGCCTGAGGTCCTTCACGGTGCCATGAGCCTTACAGATTTCTTCTAGTTCTTCTTTAGTACAGGAGAAAGGCAGGCCTGAGATGAACAGCTTGTGTTTCTCTAGGGAAGTGCTGTACCTGAACACCTATAGGAAGAAGGAAGACAGAGAAAAACCATGATTCGAGGCATGACCCAGCTCACCTGACTCCTCTGACACCAGCCTTGTCCCCAGGAGCAGCCCAGCCAGGCAGACTAGAGCCAAGCCATGCTCTGAAACTTGTTAACGGGGCCACTGGGGTGAGTCACTTAACCTCTCCAGGCCTCCATGTCTTCCTCTGTAAAACGGCAAGAATAAAAGTGGCCATTCACAGAGTCTGATGAGGAGTCAATGAGGTGACACACATAAAGCATTCAGCACAGTCCCTTGTCATGACTAAGCACCCAGCAAGAAGGAGCCATGCCATGAGTCAGACCTCAGTCAGCCGGCTCAGGACGGACCTTGGCTCACAAGGAAGTTTACATCCAAACACAGCATAAAACTTCCATGTCTACCCTAAATATCACTGCTGCAGGAAGAAAGTGCCTGTCTAAAGCAACCATAGAGGAAAGGTATTCTTTTTTCCATAAACCTACCTTAAAATCGGGGTTTTTGCTCTTATCCACACAGGGGGAAACAAACATTGGCCTCCCTTCTACACTTTTCCGGTCCATCTCCAGTGCCTGAAGGGCTGATTTCTCCTCTTTAAACTCCACGTAGCAGTAGCCTCGGAAATCCCCGCGATTGCTGAAGATGGGTCTGATCTGGACCACCTCCCCACAGGCCTCGAAGAGTGGCCTGAGCTTCACGTCCGGCTCCTGCATGCTGTAGGGCAGGTTGCTGACAAAGACGGTGATGCTGTCCTTGCTGCTGTCGTGCAGCACCTTAGGCATGTCCCTCTTCAGGGAGGCTGCCTTCTCCTTCTGCTTCGAAGGGGGTTCCACGTCTACAGTGGCACATTTCCCAGCGGGCCCTGCTGCTACTTCTACGTTTTGTGTTTCTCCAGCTTCAGGGATGCTGTTCTCGACCCTTCTGCGTTTGGAAGGCTGCTCTACAGGTTTTCAAAACAAAAGTAGCCATGGTTAACTGTTACTTCTCTTCAGGGAGCCTGAACAGAGGTGTGAAGTCCAAGCGCTGTGACAGCTGCCTGTGACACTCTCCCTCGCCAGACTCGGTGGGGCAAGCATCACCCCTGAGAAGTCTTTTGTGACCCACCTGACCTGTCCCACAACTTTCTGTGCCCCAGTTACACTCCGGTAAGTGGGCTCAATCAAGTGGAAGTAACAACATAAATCCCCACTGTCCACTCTTAAATTATACAAAAGGCAAATTATACAAAAGGCCAGTGGGTATCAAAGTTCAGAAGGCAAATTCCAGGGCCCCTCTCCTACAAAGCCCAGGTCAACAGGGGTGGGATAGGACAGGAGAATCTGCACTGGAAAAGCACCCTAGTGACTGATGCCCGTGCCCCAGGGAGCACATTAGGAAAAGCACTACAAAGGGGCTATGGTTTCTAAAACACTTTCAATAAGGCCTTGTGTCCTTAAGAGAGCTTAACCACAATCTTCTACTGCAGTCTGTCCTCACCACTGCCTCCACAGGGCCAGGACTGAAGTTCAACAGACATCAGCCTCCGGCAAACAGACCTCCCCATCAGTTCACCCACTGACTTTACAATGCAATGTAAGCCCTGCACACTGCTACTGTATTCAAGAGTGTCCCTGGGCTGGGTCCAGCTGACTGGCCCACCTACCACTGCAGACTCCTCAACCACTGCCCCATCCCTCTCCCATGCATCCGGGTTCAAACCCAATTATCTGCTGCTCACAGAGAATGCCAGGCTGTGCTGTGCCTTCAGGCTGTGCTAACATTGGCTCCCTGTCTAGCTCAGCCCTTCCCTTCTTGCTGCCAGACAGTCACTCGGTCTTCCCCCTGGATGCCGCATCTCTTCCCCACAGTCTTCCTAGTATGAAGCTGACCCACTAGTGCCTTCTTTGGCCTCCACCAGTATTAACAACTCCATCTCCCACAGTCCTGATCGCATGCCATGCCCTGATCAAACGACACTGCAGTCACACATCACATTTGCCTTACTCTGCTAAACTGTGAGGCCAGAGGAGCAATGAGCCACCCTCAGTCATTTAGGGCAGCCCAAACAAGGTGTGCAAGCAAGGTCAACTCAACGATGGATGACTCCATTCCCAGTTCTCTCTGGCTCACACATCTGTACTAAGAAAGTGTACAGAGAGTCCTTTCATGTCCAGAGACAATTCTTTTTTTTTTTTTTTTTTTTGAGGCAGTGTCTTGCTCTGTCTCCCAGGCTGGAGTGCAACAGCATGATCTCAGCTCATTGCAACCTCCACCTCCCAGACTCAAGTGATTCTCCTACCTCGGCCTCCCGAGTAGCTGGGAAAACAGGCGCCCACCACCACGGCCAGCTAATTTTTGTATTTTTAGTAGAGGCAGGTTTTCACCATGTTGGCCAGGTTGGTCTTGAACCCCTGACCTCAGGTGATCTGCCCACCTCAGCCTCCCAAAGTACTGGGATTACAGGCGTGAGCTACCACGCCCAGCCACCAGAGACAATTCTTTACCTTGACTGACTCTCTGAAGTAAGTATGACCCAGAGCTGCCCGTCCCTGAAATTACAAGGGTGAAAGAAACACTGCTGGAAAATTCCACTAAGTCAGAACCATTAAAAGCAGGGCCAAGGCCGGGTGTAGTATCTCATGCCTGTAATACCAGCACTTTGGGAGGCCAAGGCGGGAGGATCACTTAAGGTCAAGAGTTCCAGACCAGCCTGGCTAACATGGTGAAACCCCATCTCTACTAAAATACAAAAATTAGCTGGGTGTGGTGGCGGGCGAACTGTAATCCCAGCTACTTGAGAGGCTGAGGTAGGAGAATCGCTTGAACCCAGGAGGCAGAGGTTGCAGTGAGCCGAGATCATGCAACTGCACTCCAGCCTCGACAGAGCAAGATCTTCTCCTGCACTCCGAGATCATGCAACTGCATTCCAGCCTCAACAGAGCGAGACTCCCTCTCAAAAAGAAGAAAAAAAAAAAAAAGCAGGGCCAAGCTTGGCAGGTCTGTGCAGGGTAGGGGCTGCAGCAATGGTGCGGGATGCTAGAGCCTGAATGGAAGGAAGAAGACGAGCAGACATGGGGCAGTGGCAGGGACCCAGCCTAGATCTGGAAGCCTGAGTGAAGGAGGCAAGGGTGTCCATGCAGAGCCGTGCCTGACCCCAGGTGTGGGAGACCAAACAGGGTGGGGATGGCACCCGTGAGAAGGGGAGGCAGGGACAGGAATTTGATTACATACCTACAGGGGCTGGGTGGAATAAGTGAGGACGCTGAGGATAAAGGCAGCCAAGTTTCTCAAGGTTAGAAAAGGGCGTGACATGGCTGGGCGCGGTGGCTCACACCTGTAATCCCAGCACTTTGGGAGTCCAAGGCGGGTGGATCACTTGAGGCGACAAGTTCAAGACCAGCCTGGCCAACATGGCAAAACCCCATCTCTACTAAAAATACAAAAAATTAGCCAGGTGTGATGGTGTGTGCCTGTAATCCCAGCTACTTGGGAGGCTGAGGCACAAGAATCACTTGAACCCAGAAGGCGGAGGTTGAAGTGAGCCAAGATCACCCCATTGCACTCCAGCCTGGGCAACAAAGCGAGACTCTGTCTCAAAAATAAATGAATAAATAAATTTTAAAAAGAGAGAGAAAGGCGTTGCAAGTATGAAAGGGAACCCTGTGGTGTTAGACTGGAACTGGAGGTACTGGTGTGAAATCATGATTTTCAGCATACACAAATAGTTACAGAAGTAAATACGGACATAAATATGTCTGTGTACACATGCACGCACATGCGCGCGCACACACACACACTCTCCCTACCCTTGACCATTCAGGCCTAGGAACAATACCCAATAGCAGTGAGCACAACCAGCACCTCCTAAATACCACTCATCACTCAAAGGAACCTTGGAGAAATGATGGATTCCAGGACTGAGTTATGGAAAGTACAAGATGACCCTTGGGTATTGTGTGCCAGAAGGTGAGGAAATGATCAAAGAACAAGGGGACAGGTCAAAGGGACACAGAAGCCTGTGTGATGGAACTCTTGCTAGCCAAACCTGGGATAAGTAGAGCATCAACATAAATAATTATCAAAAGGGTTGTCGCCAGCAGTGGAACAAAGCGAATCACAGTCCACCTGATGGGACTCAATGAGCAGGCCACAGGAGCGCTCGTGCACTATTCCTGCCCGAGATGCATGAGCGGATTCCAATCCCTAGAGAGCATCAGACACACCCAGGCTGAGGGACACAACACAGCAACTGGCCTGTCCCCTTCCAAGAGTGCAGGTCATCAGAGTAAAAAACAGCTGAGGAGTGCTCCAGACGGAAGGAGATCCAGGAGACAAGACAGCTAAACACAACAGTGCATCCTGAACCGGATCCTTTCACTACAAAGGACATTATCAGGACAAATGGGAGCCCATGGCTGGGGTCTGAGGATTAGATGGGAGTAGCGGTCACTGCTAACCCCGGCTCTGATGGCTGCATTCTAGTCATGGAGAAGAGGGCCCTTGTTTGTAAGACATACACCCTAACAGTGATCAAAGGGTGATGGGTATCAAGCTGGTAACGTATTCTCAAATGGTACAAGGAAGAAAGTTCTTCGTACTGTTTTCGCAACTTCTCTAACTTTGATACGTTTCAAAACACAATTTCTCAAGAGCTCCTTACCTTCTTCATCATCGCCCCACTCTTTCTCATCGTCCTCATCTGCTCCGCGCTTCTCTGGGCCTCTGGTCTTTTTCTTCTTTTTCAACGCTTTCTTCTCGGCCCGGGCTCTTTTCCGTTGTTCAGCCTTTTCTTCTTCTTGCTGCACGAGGGCTGCTTCCTTCTCTGCAGCCTAGAAAAGTGGGAAGATGATGCATCGCTGGATGTGGCAGTTACATTCACTGTACTGATTTGTCATGAAAGGGGAGAGGGAGTGGAAGTTCATTACTAAATGAAAAGCAGAGATCTGGAGAAAAATGTGGACAGGCTCACAGCTGTTCCACACCAGAGCTCATTCAGGTTCTTTGGAATTCTGGATCTGATGTCTCTGTTAATATTAGCAATTTCCTCACCCTAATCATTACTCATCAAAAGGAAGGGAAAAAAAATCCATAAAACTGGCTGGGGGCAGTGGCTCACACCTGTAATCCCAGCACTTTGGGAGGCCGAGGTGGGTGGATCACGAGGTCAGGAGATTGAGACCATCCTGGCTAACATGGTGAAACCCCGTCTCCACTAAAAAAATACAAAAAAAATCAGCCAGGTGTGGTGGCCGGAGCCTGTAGTCCCAGTTACTCAGGAGGCTGAGGCAGGAGAATGGCATGAACCCGGGAGGCGGAGCTTGCAGTGAGCCAAGATGTGCCACTGATCTCCAGCCTAGTGACAGAGCGAGACTCCGTATCAAAAAACAAAAAAAAAAATCCATAAAACTAAAGCCCCAAATAAGTTGGGGGTGTTCATGTTCCACTCACTAGGCTAAGGGAGGCTCTTCTTTATTCTTTTTCATCAATTCTACTAAATTTTAGAGTCAAAATTCCCTCACTACATGAAACAAGTACTTAATATTGGGGCTGAAGTTTTAGAACAATCTGAAAAGACAGGTTTAAGCATTGATCTAAATATTTTATAATTAATACTGAGTAAAAGACACTTAGGAAAATGTAAAATGTCTTGACAAGAAACATCCATACCAAACCGAGCCAAAATAGCTACCAGAGGTGCCAAAGACTTCAAACAAACATTGTCATTACCTTCATTCTCTGCTCATTGACACGAGCTAATCGGGTTTCAGTTTTCTGAACAGCTGTATCCCAATCTTCTAAAGAACCTTGAAAGAAAGAGAAGCAAAACTTTCACTCTTTAGGATTCTGAAGGATACAATCACATAAATTTTTCTTAATTTCTCTATACCTCCAGAAGAGATCTCTCCCATCAAATAATAAGAAAATGTAATCCATGTAGCACTGAAGTTCAGAATTCAAATAGTCCTTCTAAGTGGGTTTAAAATGTCCCTTCCCTTTCAGGAGAGACTTGAAAACCAGAATATGATCTATTAAGGGCTCTAGAAGGCAAAGAATATGAAAACGTTCTAATGCAAAAAGTACATTTATATTAAGATGAAGAATTTTAAGAGCTACTCAAATGTTGAGGCATTTCTTTCTTTTTTTTTTTTTGAGACGGAGTCTCACGCTGTTGCCCAGGCTGGAGTGCAGTGGCGCGATCTCGGCTCACTGCAAGCTCCGCCTCCCGGGTTCCCGCCATTCTCCTGCCTCAGCCTCCTGAGTAGCTGGGACTACAGGCGCCCGCCACCGCGCCCGGCTAATTTTTTGTATTTTTAGTAGAGATGAGGTTTCACTGTGGTCTCGATCTCCTGACCTTATGATCCGCCCGCCTCGGCCTCCCAAAGTGCTGGGATTACAGGCTTGAGCCACCGCGCCCGGCCATTTATTTCTTATTTTTTGGTGGTCTCTGATTCCCAGTTCTGAGGGGTCCATACCCAAAATCCAGACCAATACCCACAGATAAGTTCATATTATTTTTCTATCTGAAGGCTCTGAAATTTAACAAGGGATGCAAAGAACACACTGAGCCATTTGCCTCTCCAAGGTCCTCTGTTGGACAGACGTTGTACTAGAGCACAGTGGCTCTCAAAGGAGGGATCCTGCCCATCAAGAGACATTTGGCAATGTTAACAGACATTTCTGGTTGTCATGTTTGGTTGCAGTGAGGAAGTTGCTACTGGCATTTCAGGGCTAGAAGCCAGGGATGCTGCTAAACATCGAACACACAGTCCCCCCAACAAAGAATTAGAACTCTGTGCTACAGTGACATCACAGAGTCCTCCTGGTAGCTGCAGAATTTGAGAAGAGCTGCAGGAGGACTCATTTTCAGGACACTTGTGACAGTCTAATCATAGGGCACCACTTAAGGGGTGGCAGCGTAAACACAGTCTGTCGCCAGACTGTAACCAGATGCTCCTACTTGAGACCAAACAGCAAATGGGTTAGGCTCCAAGCCAGAAGAAAGCCGGGGGTCCCACCTTCTGTCCTCTCCATGGTGAGTAACACTTCACAGACGTGCTCTGGGTAGTCACTGGTGCACTGGACAGCCCGGTGCAGGGCCTTCCGGCAGTGCTGGGTGTCACCATGCGCTCTAAGGCAGAAAACAAAAAGTTGCTGCCACCAGGACACAAAGTGGAAGGCACTCAAAGGGAGAGGCCGTCTTCTCCCAGGTAGAAACTCACTCTTCAGTAACTCTAGCTTCTGAGAAGACCTTAGCTTTCAGATCTATCCACGATGCTTTCTCCTTCCACAGTCTCTACAGTCACCTACTAAGGATTTCCCTGAAGCACTCTCTCCCTCAGCCATGCAGGGGCTACTGGAAAGCGTACCCGAGAACGTGATCTGCAACCACCATTCTGCCTTTACAGCATTCACATGTGCGGCACATGGCGGGGGAGTCCAACAGCTCTCTGTAACCTGATACAGTCCCCAGGGAAATTTTACTATGGAGTCCTACTGAGGGGAGAGTCATGAATCCAGGGAAGTGTCAAATTTCATACCCAGAGTCAAATCTTTTTTTTTTTTTTTTGAGACAGAGTCTCGCTCTTGTCACCCAGGTGGGAGTGCAATGGCACGATCTTGGCTCACTCCAATCTCTGCCTCCCAGGTTTGGGCAATTCTCCTGCTTCAGCCTCCCAAGTAGCTGGGATTACAGGTGCCCACCACTACACTCAGCTAATTTTTGTATTTTTAATAGAGACATGGTTTCACCAGGCTGGCCAGGCTGGTCGCCAACAGATCTTTTTTATACACTGCTAATCACAACAGCTACACAACAATTCTGTTAATCATAACTGTTATGAAATAGTGTATTCATATATGTTTTTAAAACATTTTAAATATACATAATTATATATACATATTATGATACTCAGAAAAAAGTTCAGAGCACTGGTTCTTAAAGTAGGATCCATGTACCCCTGAGGCTCTCCCAGAGCCTCTCAGGGGGCCTGCAAAGTCAAAACTCCTTTTATAAATAATAATACCAAGACATTACTGGACTTTTTCACTGTGTTGACATCTTCAAGACAGTGCACAAGTAATGGTGGCCCTTAGCACAAATCAAGGCAGCAGAAATCCTTTTAATGCACTGTGTGATGAAATACTAAATACACTTAAAGCCCTTCTCATACTGAAGTACAACGGTTATTGCAAAAAAAAAAAAAAACATATTACCGTTTGAGTTGCAAGCTGATCAAGTCACTTTTTTCAAGGACACCATTTTTACTTGAAAGAAAACTTGAGTGACAAACCACGGTCAGTTACTCAGACCTGGGTATTTGGCAGACATTTTTGAAAATTTACAAAGTGAGGCTGCCACTCTGGGGAAAACCATTGACAGTATTTGTTGTATGTGATAGAATTCAAGCTTTCAAGTGAAAATTAGAATTTTGGAAAACTTGTATCTGCCACCACAAGTCTGACAGCTTCCTACTTAAAATACTTTTCTACTAAGATCAGTACAGATATGAACAAATATGATTTTTTAATACTATAGAAGAAAATACGTCAACATTTGAAAGAGCTGCATGATTTAGTGAATTGGGATTTTTCCAAATAATGTCGTAGAATTATGGCATCGTGTAAAAGATAAAATAGATAAATGGGTATTACTCTAACAGAATCTGTCAATATGGTTTTAGATTCCACATGCAACACTGAAGTTTTGCTAGAATATGTATGAAAGAATACCCACAATTATCTGAAAATGCTTCTAAAATATCTTTCTTTTCTAACCTCTTATCACACTCTTCAATGAAAACAACAGATCACAACAGACAGAATCGGTAACAGACATGAGAATTTAGCTGTCTTCTACTAGGCCAGGCTAAATATATCTGCAAAAATAGAAAACAATGCCACTTTTCTCATTGTATTATTTTGGAATCTGAAAAACAGTCACTGTTCAAAAAAGTTATTAATGTTAAATAATTTGTTATATTTAAATGAATGAAAATGTTTTTTACATTTCTCAATTTATAAATTATAAATATCAATAGATATAACTCACATACATAAAAGTGTTTTGGGATCCTCCAATTTTAAGAGTGGAAAACGGATCCTGAGACCAAAAAAATTGTGAACTGCTGATCTAGGGGAATATTCAACAAGCTTTAACAGTGGTTTTCTCTGGGGTGGGATTATAAGAAACTGTCACTTTTAGCCAGATACGGTGGCTCACGCCTGTAATTCCTACACTTTGGGAGGCCGAGGTGGGAGGATCACTTGAGGTCAGCATGACCAACATCGTGAAACTGTCTCTTCTAAAAAAAAAAAAAAAATACAAAAATTAGCCAGGTGTGGTGGTGCACACCTGTAATCCTAGCTACTCAAGAGGCTGAGGCAGAAGAACAGCTTAAACCCAGGAGGCGAGGTTGCAGCTGAGACTGAGCCACTGCACTTCAGCCTGGGTGAGAGTGTGACTCCCCACCTGCCCCCAAAAAAGAAAAGAAACGGCCGCTTTCTATCACATATTTTTGTAAACATTCTGACTAATATGGGCACACAGTGTTTTTTAAATAGGGAAAAAACATTCAAAAAAACCCCCAGCAATGTAGCAATGTTATGCAATGAACAATGTTCAAGACAGACTGAAAAGTTGGTCACATTCTTTATGTTTTCCCCATGTTACAAATATTGTTAGGCATAACTTATTTCATTCAAACAGTTTTAAAGGCTTGTAACACATGTATGCTTTAATTGCATTTTCATTACAAAAAAATTTAAACATAGAAAAGTCTCAAAGAATGGGTCATGGTTATGACTGGGTCAGTAATTTTGAGTTTTTTTTCTCTTAGCTTTTTAGTATTTTCTACTTTTCTATAAAAGCAAATATAAAAAATAAATAGCTCCAAAAGATCAAATAAAATATCATGCCCAAAAATCAAAACAAAAACAAATTAAAAGAAATGCACAGCTGTAAGAGTTCCAGGCACAAAATACGATAAAAATTAAAAATGTACCCACTACTGAAAGAGACAGAATGAAAGAAGGCAGCCCAGTGCTAAGGAGCTAGTCCAAGCTGGTAGGAGTCAGCCAGGAGTGAAGACGGGTGCACAGCTGACAAGCACTGCCTCCCTCCCCACCCCGAGATCAGTTACCTTTCCAGGTTGTAATACTCTAGCCACATGTTGGCGTACTTGGCGTTTCCTCTGGTCATGATGCTATCCCAGAGTTCCCGAGCTTTCTGCATGTTATTGCACAGTCGAGCCTAAAGTGCATCAGCAGGCTGTTAGGACACCTGAACCCTATGATGTCAACACCCATCATACAACATACTTCCAACAGACACACATAAAAAGCACCCCACAACTATTACTGTTACAGATGTCCCTGGGAATTCCCCAGGCCTCCCTCCAGTGGTAAAGGGCCCAGCCCAAACACTTGAGCCTTTCTGCAGCCACAAGCTAATCTGCCTATGTTTCCTGAGAACTGAGAGAGACAGCACGCGGTACTTACGCGACAGTACTGGATAGTCATTTGTTTTTTATTTTTATCAAGCTTAACTACAAGTGTTTGAGAGACAATATTTTTTTTTAAAAAAAGGCTGCTCTAGTATTAAATGCACACTCTGCTACTAATGCTTACAAACTGTGACTTGGGCAACCTGTAATTCTCAGTTTTCTCATCTTTAAAATGGTTAAGAAATAAGTATCCCATATAGAAACTACCTGACAAATGTTAGTTTCTTCTATCTGACGCTCCCTCAGAGGAGAAAACATGATTAGAATTATTACAATCCTACCTGCTGATCAAGGCAGGTTCCGTGTCTTACTGACCTTGGAGCCCCTGACCCAGTAATGACATTCAAATGATCATATCCTCTAATTACTTGCCAAATAATCTGTCTTCTACATTATATAGAAGCCTTACTAGCACAGGAATTCTTATTCCCACAGCACCTAGTACAGTGCTAACAAATAGTACACGCTCACTGTGCTCTCACAAATGAAGCAAAGAGGCAGAGACGGAAGTAAACGAGTGAATACCTAGCATTTAAACATTTACTGCACAACTTGTAGCTGGGAGCTAGTATTTTCACCAACATTATTTACAAATATGTGTCAAGCTAGGTAAATAACATGAATCCTTGTAGAGCCTAGACCATTACTTAGGTAAATAACACAAATCCTTATAGAGCTTAGCCCATTATTTGGGATTCTGACTCAATTTTAATTAAGGTTTAATAGGATGCTATTCAACAATGGTGGGTGAAAGTGGTAGATTTGTCAAAAACATTTACCTCAATCCTAGCCCAGTTCTGCATAATCACACAGCTTGGATCACCACTTTCATTGAAACCTTCAAACACAGAATTAGTAAAATTAGAAAGGAACTTGGAGACAAATAGCCTCTAGCTGGAAAGGTACATCAACCAGGAAATAGTACAGACCAGGAAATACAACTGGGCAAAACCACAGGCTGGGGCATACTTACGCTCTTCCACCTCCTGCTTCAGATACTCCAAGGCACGAGTAAAGGCGGCCCTCAACTCCTCCAGCTCTTTACTGGAGTCTAGTGGAAAGTACAAAAAAAGGCTTTAGGAAACCACATAGCCTGGCTTTGTTTGTTTTGTTTTTTATCCTATGCTGAAACTGCCCAGAGACCCATTATGTACCTGGCATCATGCAAGGGACACAGAAATAAAATTGCCAATTCCTGCCCTCATCACATAGTCAGGGAGAAAGAAATTAGAACACAGTAGAGTATGGACAGCATGGTGAAAAAGGTGAACACAGAGTGCTGTGTGGGGGGAGTCTCCCCCAGCTGGGGTGACACAGGCAAACAGAAGAATGGCTAAAGGCTACCTGTATGAGGTGACAGCTGACATGAGTGTGCAAGTACAAGTTAGGGGTTTTCTGGCTGTTTTGGGGGGGACATGAAGGGGCAGAGGATCCCACAGAGGTACAAACATTTTTCTAAAACACAGCAGTCTTATTTCAAGAAGTATTTAGGATAAATAAAAAGACCAGAAAAGAGAAATGAGAGCTAAGACTAAAGAGGCTGGCAGAGCCAGTATAAACCATTACTCTCTTGCTTTACAATCCACAGCATGACTTGTTAAGATAGAAATCACTAGGATTTCTGGGGGAAAAAGTCACCAATGCCTAGTCTACATCATTTGCCCAATCACAATGTTATCTGGGGAACTGGGACATCTCGCCAAAAGTTGTGTTAAGAACATGTTCAGCTCTGAAGTGAAAAACATGCGCTTAAATACCTTGTTTGAAATCAACCCTTCTCCTCAGGTAATCAAGGTATGCCTGCCAAATCTCCACATAATCAGTGGCCTGGATGAAGCCAGCATTCAAAGCTTTCTCGAAGGTTACTGGAGTTGGAGAAAAAGTCAGGATTTGTTACCAATTCAAATGGAAGCTAATATAAAGTTACTACATTCTACTGACTATAAAACACTACATGACTTTAAAGACTAATAGATGCAACAGGATGAAATGAGCTAGACAGGAATGTTGAAGAGAGAAGGTGCTACAGCACTCTACAGACTGTGTTCTAGAAAAAACTTCTTTCACAAGACGTCCTGCAAGAAGAGTTCCAGGTCAAGGAAGTTTGGAGAAAAGACTACAACTTCGTAGAAAATGCAATGAATATTAGCATGTTAAAAAGCTCAAAGAAGCCACAAATATAACCAGTTCATCTCTCAGAGCCCTTTTTGTCACTACACTCCATATCCCAAAGAAAACCCCAGGCAACACTGATGTAATGACTTTGTCACCGCTCTCTGTTTCTCACTTGGGACAAAGAGCTTAGAAGTTCTCCCACAAAAACATCCGCACCAGAAATTACTTGATGATCAACTCCATGTCTCTCCATGGCCAAGAGGTACCGACTCCATAAGGCAACTGTCCAGGGGCAGTTTCTAACAGCGCGGTTATGTACAGATAAAACCAAATCCTTTACTTTCAGTTGCCGATCCTATGATAAAGAATTCCAGAATCAGGAAATTAAACTTTATTAAGAATTCACCATCAACAAGACATTGCCAGCACAACCAAGTGATGAAAGAAATATCCTTATAAACGTCTCTTGTGACCGGGTTTCCTCAAAAAAAAAAAAAAAAAAATCACTAGGGGGAGTGGAGGAAAAGGACAGAAGCAACTTATAGGTTAAAAGAGCCTTAAGAGACGTCAGCCAACCCTACTGGATAGACCTCATTTGGATCCTTCTATACATATACACTGAAATATTTTATATACACATATTGAAATATTTACCAATGAAATATCATTTCTGGATTTGCTTCAAAGTAACACATAAGGGGCAAGTAGGTGAGACTACAGATCAAAGTAAACTAAAGCTATAATTGTTAATAATTATTGAAGCTGGGTGAGGGGTACAGGAAGTTTCATTTTACTTATCTGTCTACTTTTATATGTTTATATTTTTTCCATAATACAAAGTTAAAAGAAAAATATCAATTTGTTTTAAGTCCTCAACACAGACTATATGCTAATTTTACTTACAGTTAGTGACCATTTTAAAATAACCTGAAACACTAAAACTTCCTAAACGAGTTGGCAAAGAGGAGAAAAAGTGGATGGAGGAAAAGCAAGAGCAGGGCCATATGCAACAAACTCCTGGCACTCTAAGTAGATTATAAATTGGCAAAAATAAAATGAAATTAGAACAGTGATCTTACTAGGTACTGACTGTAACGGATCCATAAGTCTGGGACAAGGCAGTTCTCGACCAGGGCGCGCTCAAAGATCAACTGAATGCGAGCAGGATCGCCAATTTTCATCTCAAAATCGATATATGCTTGATATTCTGACAGCCTTGGTGCCTCTGCCTGCAACTAGAGTACAGGAAAATTGTATTAAAGTTGAATTGAGTTACTGGCAGGAAGCACAACACATCTGCAAATAAAATAAATTTTGGCAAAACTGGCTACAGTAACTACGAATCGCCAAATCCTCACTCTCAGAACCACTCCACTATGGCCTCCACAACTTCTTGAGCAGAACAAGAGTCTTCTCATCTGGTCCAAAGTGCCAGTTCATGGCAGTCATAACAAAGGCTCTATAAACCCTTTTCTAAATCCATTCCTAGACCACAGGGAATTTAAGTGGCCCATCAATCGTGAACTGAGTGAAAGAGCAACACAACACCTTTGCCAGTGACCACTGTTAACCACCCTTCCAAACCAGAAGTCATGTTCTTGGGCTACTGAGTCGAGTTAATACAACCAAACTGGAAAATTGTGGTGCCTGATGCTATTCAAGTTTCTTATTCCAAATATCAGTTCCTGGAAGAATGTAGGTAAATGCAGAAAATGGAGGCAGCTGTGCTGAATGTTTAATGATCCAAAGACATACGATCAAATTCTTTTTAGAAAAAAATCTTATTCGACATGTTTTCTCTTCAGGCATATTTTGCTGATGGCCATGACATAATGGAATGATTGGAGTTTTGAGAAGAACAGGTACATGCAAATCATTTACACATGAAAAAGAAAGGAAGGAGTAGTGCAGAAGAGTAAGAAAACACGCAGGCTCCGTACTCAGAAAGGGGATGTTTCACAGCCTCCATTTCTAGTAACGAGAAAGAATTAGTTACCCAGACACACTGTACCATTCAAAACAACTAAAACTACTAAATTAAATATAGTATCTTCTTAAAATTCATCAACAAACTGGCAAAGAAACAAGAAATTCTAAGGACTAAGGACAAAATCTAAATGAGGGTGGCAAGCTAAGTAAATGTTAACCTTTTGCTGGCTTGACATACATTAAGAATTTGATCTTCACAATTCTATTGTTGGCAAAGAAAGATAGAAAAAACAGTCAAAAAGCCCAAAAAACCTCAAGCCAGTCCACACATGGACCTACTGCAATGAAATTAGAGGACAGTAAACCAAATCAATGAGATCTTAAAAGCAGTCAGAGAAAAAACAGTGACTACCTCTGAAGAAGCAAGATTTATACAAACCGCTGACTTCTGAACAGCAACAACAGACATCAGAAGACAGAAAGATACAATCAATTGCTGAGAACACACTGTCTGTCCAGAACTCTTTTGTTGTTGTTGTTGGTCTAGAATTCTATAGCCTAAGAAAATAATTTTCAAGAAGGGAAGTAAAGACCTTTCTGAACAGAGAAAATCTGTTACCAGCAAATCGCCCTCGCAGGGGACTCTAAAGGTCACGTGTTGAAGACACTGGACAAATTTATAATATTATTATAAAGCTTTACAGAAAGACAAGATGTAAGTAGCAGAAACCTATACTATGTTCATAGATTGGAACATGTAAATTCTTCCCAAATTCCCCAAACTGATCTCCAGGTTCAATGCAATTCCAATTAAAAAAAAAAAAAAAAGATTTTAAAAATATAACTACAAAAGCTGATTCTAAATCTGATGGAAGCATTGAAGGCTAAAAAAAAAAAGCCAAGATACTCTTGAAGAGGAACAAGGTGGATGGGACTCACCCTATCCAAGAGCAAAACATTATAACTCTCATCATTACAACAGTGTAACGTAAGCCAGTGGGACAGAATAGAAAATCCAGGAGAAAGACCCACACATACATGGACAGCTAATCTATGACAGATGTGGCACTGCACATCAGTGAGGGGAGGAAGGAATAATCAAACTCAGTACTAGAACAACTGGTTCTCCATATGGAAAAATGAAACCAGACCCAGTCTCATACCACTTAAAAATCAATTCCAGGTGGATGAGGCCCTAAATATGAAACAGAAAACTATAAAATTGTTATAAGAAATTAGAGTTAACTAGGGAATATTTTTCAAATAAGCACAACAAAAGCACAACCAAAAGGTAAAGAATTTTAATCTAATTGGATTTATCACTAAGAACTGTTCATCAAAAAACACCATTAAAAAAAAAAAATGAAAAGGCCGTCACGGTGGCTCCCGCCTATAATCCCAGCACTTTGGGAGGCCGAGGCAGGTGGATCACCTGAGGTCAGGAGTATGAGACCAGCCTGGCCAACATGGCGAAACCCCATCTCTACTAAAAACACAAAAATTAGCCAGGCGTGGTGACGAGGGCCTATAATCCCAGCTACTAAGGAGGCCGAGGCAGGAGAATCGCTTGAAACAGGGCGTGGGGGGCGGGGGAGTTGCAGTGAGCCGAGATCAGCCACTTTACTCCAGCCTGGGTGAAAAAGCGAAAACTCCGTGGGTGGTGGGTGGGGTGGGGAGGTGAAAAGACAAACAACAAACTGGGGAGAAAATCTGCAACACATACAGCCTAAAATAAGACTTAAGACTCAGCATTCCCACAAATCAATTAGAAAAAAGATACATCAAAAGGGAAATGGGTCAAAGACTTTTTTTTTTTTTTTTGAGACAGAGGCTCGCACTGTTGCTCAGGCTAGAGTGCAGTGGTGTGATCTCGGCTCACAGCAACATCCACCTCCCAGCTTCAAGTGATTCCCCTGCCTCAGCCTCCCAAATAGCTGGGATTACAGGCACCAGCCACCATGCCCAGCTAATTTTTTGTATTTTTAGTAGAGACGGGGTTTCACTATGTTGGCCAGGCTGGTCTCAAACTCCTGACCTCGTGATTCACCTGCCTCGGGCTCCCAAAGTCCTAGGATTACAGGCGTGAGCCACTGCGCCCGGCCCAAACACATTTTTTTAAAGAAACAGGGTTTTGCTTTGTCACTCAGGCAAGAATGCAGTGGCATGATTACAGCTCACTGCAGCCTTGACCTCCTGGGCTTCACCTCTGGAGTAGCTGGGACTACAGATACACAGACACGTGCCACCAAGCCCAACTAATTTTTTTTTTCTTCTGTAGAGACAGGGTCATGCTACGTTGCCCAGGCTGATCTCAAATTCCTGGGCTCCAGCAATCCTCCCGCCTTCGCCTCCCAAAGTGCTGGGATTATAGGCGTAAGCCACTGTGCCCAGCCTGAAGACTTTAACACGCACAAAAACTTGAATGGCCAATCCACGTGAAAAGATGCTCAACTTCATTAGTAACCAGGGAAATACAAATTAAAACTACAATTTCAAATTCATCAAATTAAGTAGAATTTAAGTATGTCCAATATCCAAGACTGGCACAAGCAACAAGAACTCTCAGATAATGCTCACAGCAGTGCAAACTGATAACCTGGAAAACACTTTAACAACACACTATGATCCAGCAAAGTCATTCCTAAGTATTCTAGAGAAACTCTTTTTCATGTGTACAAGGAGACACACACAAGAATATTCAGAGTGGCACTGCTCCTCCTCCTAGCAAAAAATTGGAAATGACCCAACTATCCAGCAACATAAATACATTGCAGTATACAGACAACTTTACAGCAGTGAAAACAAATGCACTGGAACTATACTTAGCAACATGAGTAAAACCCAAAAGCATGTTCAATGAAAATAAAATATACAGCATGATTCCAATATATAAAAGTTCAAAAGCAAGCAAAATTAAATATATTAATTAAGGATACTTTCATAGCTTGTAAAACTATAAAGAAAAGCAAGGGAATGATTATCACAAAAGTCAGGAAAGTGATTACCTCTCGGGAGAGGGAGGAGGAGGCAATCGGAGAGGGGCACATAGGAGACTTCTAAGGTACTGGCAATGTTCTATTTCTTAACCTGGGTGGTAGGTACATGGATGTTCACTTTATTATTAGTATGTAAACTGCATGTATACATTTATACACTCTATATATTTCACAATAAAACATTGTAAAGATACTGTTTAACTTGCAACTATCCATCAGGGAAAAGTTTGCAGAGAGACGTTTACTAAAGCCAACACTTACCAGTGCTTCTTCATAGGGTTTATATTTCTCCAGCTGCTGTAGTGCTTTGTTATAGTTCTGAATTACCGACTCTGGTACTGGGTCTTCTGACCATTCTTCATACTCTGCAAATGTGGCCTCCATATCTATTGAAAGATGGATTCAGCCCCGTGGGTGTTGCCATTGGGCTTTATCAACCCAAACACAGATTAAGCCATGAGACTCAGGTGCCACTAGCCCCTCCCACATCTGTGGCCATGGCAGCTCTTACTGATCAAATTTTGATTTCTGCTGAGCCCAAACCTGTCTGTAGAATCTGTCTCAAAACAATGTCCCAGGCAACCCTCCCAGCTAATTAATCAGTCAATGACACTAGTAGCAACAATTTAACAACACTTACCCAGTGTTGCCTATGTTCTAACACTTCACATCCATTAACTCATTCAGTCAACTCCACTCTACAAAGTAGTCTATTGTGATCCTCATTTTGCAGTTGAGGAAACTGAAGCAGAGGGTTCAGCTGCTTGTCTACAGTTAATGGTAGAGCAAGGCTGTGAACCCAGGCAGTCCGGCTCAAGTTCACACTCTAATCACTATGCTAGGCTGTTTCACGCTGGTAGGTGAAGTGAAATCTGCAAGCCAGCTCAGCTCTAGCCTTTGCTGCATGACACTCAATCATTTGATTAGACAACTACTTTATAACGTGTTAAATCCAATAAACCATGAAGAGAAATAACACCTGGGCTCCAGTAAAGTTGCCCAGAGGTTCTGAGTATGTACAACACATGCCCGTGTCTAGGGAACAAACACAACAGCCATGCCAAACTCTTCCCATACTCAGAAAAATCCTCCCAGCACACACACACTCACAGCTCCAAAGACTCAAAAGGCTTAGATTGCCAAAATGTATTTACCAAATAAGGAAACTCTTTACCAACCCCCAAGAAACTCACTTATGAGTACTTCCAATCAACTGCACTTCTGAACCAAATCCCTCCCACAGAGGAATGATCTAAACCCACGCAAAATTCCTGCTGTTACGGAAGAGGTTACTTATGAAGAGAAAATGATTATAATGGAACTCTTGTTCAATGACGTTTCCCCCAAAAATACCGGTGTCATTCACTATTCCTTTCAGAGACCCTATCTCTGCCTTTCCAGCTAGGTCTCAAAGGAGAAAAGAGCTCTCACCTAGGAGTCAGGGAGTCTGGCTTCCAGTCCTGCTTCTGACCCTCACAACCCTCTTAAGCACTAACATTCAAGATGTTTTTACCTAGGACCTCATCCCAAGAGACAATATCCAAGGACAGTAAGAACACAAGCTTTACCTGCCTCACAGGATGGTGGGAAAGGTCTAACTACATGTCATTCCTCCAAAGTATTTTAAAAACCATAGAGGGCTGGCTATTGACATGTCAGTTTCTCTTACCATAGAGTGGGATCGCCAACTGTCGCCGGAAAAGACTGTGGACTTTCTCAAGCTGTGAATCAAAGGTTTGTTCCCGGTCAAAAGGGGAAAGGAAGCCAGCTACGGGCTAAAGAAGCAAATTAGTAGTAAATAACAAACTGTGGTTCTTTCTTTGTTTTTTCTTTTGAGAAGGGTTCTCACTGTCACCCTGGCTGGAGTGCGGTGGTGTGATCACAGCTCACTACAGCCTCATGCTCCAGGCTCATGCAATCCTCCCACCTCAGAGTCCTGAGTAGCTAGGATCATAGGCATATGCCATCACGCCCAGCTAATGTTTTATGTTTTGTAGAGATGGGGTCTCACTATATTGCCCAGGCTGGTCTTGCACTCCTGAACTCAAGAGATCATCTGGCCTCAGCCTCCCAAACTGCTGGGATTACAAGCATGAGCCACCGTACTTGGCCAACTCTGGTTCTTTCTACTTCAAAAAATATCTCAACAAATTTTCAGTTCAAGCTAAAAAAATGTATACGACCTCTTCCATACATATTGAACCAAATGCTACAAGGGGTATAAAAAAGGTTATCTATCACCCAACCACTAAGGGATTGGCAAAGACCATTTTGTTAACTATATGAACTGCAAGATTCATCCTGGACATGTGTTTCAAAATAATCCTTCCAAGGAGACTTACAAAGACAGCCCCAGCCTGTTCAGAGACAACCACAGGTACTCACCCGAGCAGCTTCCACGATTGCACTTTCAAACTCTCGGTAAGCCTCCCAAAGGGCGAGTCCTTTGGTCATATGCAAACCAACAGACGAGAGAGCCCTTTCAAACACGGAGCGAACTTTCTCAAGGCCACCTTTCTGACCAATCCCACCAACTGAGTACTGGCCATACTCTAGCCAAATGTTAGGACCTAAAAATAAGAAGTGTTCAATTAGTTTGGGGTATAAAATACCCAAATATCAAAACTGATGCAAAACAAAAGAAATGTGCCTACCAAAAAAGTTCTCAGACAGCAGCACTAAATGACAGTGAAGGCCTAACAGCAGAGATGACCATAAAGGACCAAAAAACATTACAGTCTGGGGAAGACCATAGATCCTCAGAAAAAGATAACTGGTGCTATTAACAATGGCTGTGAGAGAGAAAGAAGTGGGTAACAGGATCATCAGAAATCATGGGAACACCATGCACTGCTAAAATTATCAGTGGTTCTAAAAGAAGACTCATGGGCCACAGAGCAGAGGTACAGATATAGTTTTTAAAAATACATTTGGCCAGGTGCAGTGGCTCACGCCTATAATCCCAGCATTTTGGGAGACTGAGGCGGGAAGATCACAAGGTCAGGAGTTCGAGACCAGCCTGGCCAATATGGTGAAACCCCGTCTCTACTAAAAATACAAAAATTAGCCGGGCGTTGTGTCAGGCACCTGTAGTCCCAGCTACTTGGGAGGCTGAGGCAGGAAAATCGCTTGAACTCAGGTGAGGGGGAGGTTGCAGCGAGCTGAGATCACACCACTGCCCTCCAGCCTGAGAGCGAGACTCTCAAAAAAGAAAAAAAAGATAACACACACACACACACACACATACTATACTTGTATATTCATAAAACACCTCTTATTTTCATTATACAGATTATAAACCAAAAAATTGTGAATTCTTTTTGGCTTGCAAAGATACACAAAAAATTCTCTATCTCAGAACAGTCTATATGGTAAGCAGCAATGCTTCTCACAAGAGGGACTGCTCCCAGTGGGAAATCAACAAGGAAGAGGATATGAAATCTGAAAGGGGAAATTGTTTGTTTGATTTTTGAGACAGAGTCTCATTCTGTCACCCAGGCTAGAGTGCAGAGGCATGATCGCAGCTCACTGCACCCTCCGCCTCCTGGGTTCAAGTGATTCTCCTGCCTCAGCCTCCCGAGTAGCTGGGACAACAGGTGTGTGCCACCACGCCTGGCTAGTTTTTTGTATTTTTAGTAGAGATGGGGTTTCACTGTGTTAGCCAGGATGGTCTCAAACTCCTGAACTCGAGATCCACCTGCCTCAGCCTCCCGAAGTTCTGGGATTACAGGCGTGAGCCACCACCCCCAGTCTGAAAGGGGAAATTTTTAGAATGCCTTTTTTTTTTTTTCTTCTGAGACAGAGTCTCACTTTGTCACCCAGGCTGGAGTACAGTGGCACAATCTTGGTCCACTGCAACCTCCGCCTCCTGGGTTCAAGCAATTTTCATGCCTCAGCCACCTGAGTAGCTGGGATTACAGGCCTACATGCCACCACACCCAGCTAATTGTATTTTTAGTGGAGATGGGGTTTCCCCATGCTGGGCAGGCTGATTTCAAACTCCTGGGCTCAAGTGAGCTGCCTGCCTTGATCTCCCAAATTGCTGGGATTACAGGCATAAGCTACCAAGCCTGACCTTAAAATGCTTTCTTCTGAGACAGAATCTCACTCTGTTGCCCAGGCTGGAGTGTAGTAGCACAACCTCAGCTCACTGCAACCTCCACCTCCTCAGTTCAAGCAATTCTCCTGCCTCAGCCTCCTGAGTAGCTGAGATTACAAGCACGTGCCACCATGCCTAGCTAATTCTTGTATTTTTAGCAGAGATGGGGTTTTGCCATGTTGGCCAGGCTGGTCTTGAGCTCCCAATGCCAAGTGACCACCAGCCTCGGTCTCCCAAAGTTCTGGGATTACAGGTGTGAGCCACCACGCCCAGCCTTAAAACGCTTTTTAATAGCATTTTGTCCACAGCATTGTCTGATGTGGTCCCCAGTTCACATACAGAAAATATTTAAGACACTTATACTATATACAGGGGACAGTAAAGAGACTTAAAGGGAGGTGAGTCTTCTATACTCCACTTGCACCGGTAAGATGTCAATACCAGCAGGCAAGGGAGGTCTCTGTGGGGACAGAACGATTCTGTATCTGGACTGCAGCAGTGGTTAGATGAATCTACACATGTAATAAAATGTCTTTTTTTCCCATTGTTCCAAGGTCAATTTCCTGGTTTTGATTTTGTACTACAGAAACAAGATATTGGAGGAAACTGGGTAAAGTGAGTACACAAGACTTCTCTGTACTATTTCTGCAACTTCCTATGACTCTATAATTACTTCAAAATAAAAAGGTTTTCTTTTAATGTTTTCATCTTTTTTTTTTAAAGCATCTTGTCCAAAACCTCTAAAACCCTATTCAATGTATAAAAGATCACCAGGAAATGCCATGTAAGCTCTGTCAGTACATCCTGAGTGTGAGTGTACTCATTCCCTTACTGCAAGCGCTTCTTCCACTTTTATTTTAAAACTACACTTCCTCAATTAAAGAACAAAGACAATGACAAGACGATTGAACTTAAATCTTGCTAATTGTTAGACTAAAGTTCCCTTTTCTGGGTAGCAGCATCTCATAATACAGTCCTCAACAGCAGACTGATCTACATGACATTTTTAGATACCCTAAAAAAGTCCACGGGAACTTACAAATGTAATCCTTCACAGCTTTCTCAAAGAGGTCATACACATGCTCTCTGTCCAGGCCATCCTGGGCCATGCTGATCTCGTCGTGCAGCCACTCCAGCCAGAGCTCTACGAGACAAGAGTACCTCCCGCATTAATACCAAAGGGGAGGCTGAGAGCAGGGACTTTACCAAGAAACATCAGCACGCAAATGTTTCATCCATCTTACACAACCTGGCATTGTTCCAGAAATTCACTTCTTAAAACCTGAACTAAGCACATAGGAGGTTTTATGCTTCCAAATAAGATCAAATCACTAAAATCATAACATCCTCTACTTGTTAGGCATTTCATATTTGGCAAAGCACTTTTCTCATTCAGTCTTTATCATAATCCTGTAAGGTTGGTGATAGTAACACTAAAAATAATGACATCTATTTAAGGATTACAACATGCCAAGCATGTGTTAAGTGTTACAGGTAGAATAGCTCATCCTATTCTGTCATACATTACAAGGCAGAAACTACTGTTGCCATCATTTAACTGCTAGAAAAACTGAGTCTCAGAATGTTTACATAATCTGCTTAAGGTCACACAGATAGTAAACGATGTAGCCAGGAATGAATCTAGGTCATCTGACTCTAGCATCTACACTCAGCAGTTATGCTTTGCAGAAGGGAAAAGGGGCAGAGTGGGATCTAGGACCAAAGTGTCCTAAGCACTGCCCAAAAGATCACTTATGAATATTCATGAAGACTAAAGAGTTGTTCAGTGCAATTATGTTTCTAATACGCAAATAAGTAGAAATAACCTAAATGCCCAACTATTCTGGAACAATTAATGTATGAAACATTTACATAAAAAGCTGTCTGTAAAAGTTTAAATATATTTACAATTTTCTGGTTTCAAGAGAATGGATTAAATACATAAATACTGAAATGGGAAATAGAAATGGGATTCAAGTTTAATCACATTACAAATGTTTACCATAACGTTATAATTAAAAAATCAGAATTCAAAATCCGTGTTATATGATCATAACTACATTTTGCAAAAAACTACAAGATAATAAACTAAAAATAGCTAACTCTGATGGGTTTTCTTCTTTCTACTACACTGTCCAGGTTTTCTACAAGGAGCATGTCCCACTTTCAACATTGAAACAAATATACAAGCCTTGTTTCTGTTTCTAAAAGCAGCCTGACTGCTGAAGCTTACCTTCAGTCAAGGGAAAGATCTCACTCATCTTCTGGCGGGCCATCCTCACCTTGGTAAGCTCCCCTTCCAGCCGGAGCAGCCTGATCAAGTCCACGTGGCAGTTATAGTCATAGACGTTGATAGACAACTAACAGGAAAAGAAACAAGTTGAAATTTAAAATGCCATCATCAAGTAACTTAGCTTTTGTCACTACTGGTAACTACACACATACCTGCCACAAACAAAATAAATGTGCTATCTGAGAAAACCACTGAAACAGCAACCCAGCGTGTACCCACAGGCAGAAGACAAAACAATAAAAGAGGCTTTATTTTGAAACAAACATAAAGCTCCCTCAAATCTGTTACAGTTCCTGCTAGAAGACATCAGGGTTCTCTCGGAAATAAAGGAGGCATTCTAATGAAACAAATAAAAAGTATGTGACCTCAGGTAAGTTATTTACTTTCCTAAGCCTCTATTTCCTCATTTATAAAATGAGAACACTACTGTTTCTAGTTCATACCAGGTCTTCCAAAGATTTTTAAAAATTCTACTATTACACTGGTCTTTAAGAAAAACTAAAAACCAAAAAGGTAATTTTATAACATCCTTCAGTACATGTGAGGTACACTGTAAGACCTTTTTTATTTTACTAAATAAAAGAGATGGAGGCCAGTTACGGTGGCTCACGTCTGTGATCCCAGCACTTTGGGAGGCCAAGGCAGGTGGACTGCTTGAGCTCAGGCGTTCGAGACCAGCCTCAGCAACATAGTCAAACCCTATCTCTACCAAAAATACAAAAAATTAGCCGGACATTGTGGTATGCGCCTGTGGTCCCAGCTACTTCGGAGGCTGAAGTGGATCACTTGAGCCTGGGAGAGAGAGGTTGCAGCGAGCCGAGATCACGCCACTGCACTCTGGGCCTGGGTGACAGAGCAAGACCCTATCTCCAAAAAAAGAGATGGAAATCCATATTAGAGAAACAAGAGTGGCAGCAGGTTGGTATCTGTTGATGCTGAGTGACAGGTACATAAAGTTTTATTTGTACATTTGAAACTTTTCAAACTAAAATTATTTTAAGTTACCATATATCTGAGACAAAGAAAAACAAAAAGAATGTCACTAGCAGACCAACCCTTGAAGAATAGCTAAAGGAAGTTCTTCGAACAGAAAAGTTAAAAGAAGGAATCCTAGAGCATCAAAAAGAAAGAAAGAACAGAACAACAGTAAGAGCAGAAATACGGGAACTATGACAGATGAGTATCCTCCTCTCTTCACGAGCTTTCTAAATCGTATGTAATGAAACAAACATTGTAAGAACTTCTGATACCCAACACAGTATTATTTAAAAGTGGGGATGGAAAGAGAACTGAAATGGAAGATTTCCACACTTCGTTCAAGTGGTAAAACACTGATACCATGTAAGTCAACTCTGTATATTTTAACACCCAAAGCAACCACTGAGAAAACTATTCAAAGCAATTACACTAAAAATCACTTTAAATAAATCAAGATGGCCAGGCGTGGTGGCTCACACCTGTAATCCCAGCACTTTGGGAGGCTGAAGCGGGCAGATCACGAGGTCAGGAGTTCAAGACCAGCCTGGCCAACATGGTGAAACCCCATCTCTACCAAAAAATACAAAAAATTAGCTGGGTGTGGTGGCACATGCCTGTAGTCCCAGCTACTCGGGAGGCTGAGGCAGGAGAATCACTTGAACCCGGGAGGCAGAGGTTGCAGTGAGCTGAGATCACACCATTGCGCTCCAGCCTGGGCGACAAAGCGAGACTCCATCTCAAAAAATAATAATAATAAAAAATAAAAAATAAATTAAATTAAATTAAAAATCAGAAATGTATAAAGAGAACAATACATAATGACCAAACTGGGTCTATCCCAGGAATGCAAGGGTGTTTTCACACTACAAAATCATCCAGTATAATTTTTTCCACCATCAAATTTGACGAAAAAAAATATGATTATCTCAATGAAGAAAAAGCATGTGATTAAAACACCCACTCATGAGTCAAAATTAAGAACTGGCACACTAGGAATAGAAAGGCACTTCCTTAACCTTAAAATCTACAATAAATATGACTCCTAATGATAATATATTAAAATTCCTTTTAAAAAACACAAAAAGCTACCCAGTATCACCCTCTATTTAACCCTGTACTGAAGGTCTGGGATTGGAACAATGAGACAAGGAAAAGAAACGTAAAGAGAGAAAAGAATGAGAACTGTAATTATAGTCAGATGATATCACTGTATAGTAAACTAAAACTCATCTACAAACAAATCATTTGGAAATAATAAACAAGATTAGTAAGGTGACAAGCAATAAGAGCAATGTATAAAAATCAATTACATACAAAGAGACAAATACTGTATGATTCCACTTATATGAAGTATCTAGTCAAATTCATAGAGACAGAAAACTACAATGGTAGTTACCAGGGGATTGGGAAGGAAGGAGAAGGAGAGCTGTTTAATGGGTACAGAGTTGCATCTATGCAAATGAAAACTTTGGAGATCTGCTTCGCAACAATTTGACTATACTTAATACTACTGAACTGTACACTTAAGAATAACATAAGCCAGGTGCGGTGGCTCAAGCCTGTAATCCCAGCACTTTGGGAGGCTCAGACGGGCGGATCACAAGGTCAGGAGATCGAGACCATCCTGGCTAACACGGTGAAACCCCGTCTCTACTAAAAAAATACAAAAAACTAGCCGGGCGAGGTGGCGGGCGCCTGTGGTCCCAGCTACTCCGGAGGCTGAGGCAGGAGAATGGCGTAAACCCGGGAGGCGGAGCTTGCAGTGAGCTGAGATCCGGCCACTGCACTCCAGCCTGGGCGACAGAGCCAGACTCAGTCTCAAAAAAAAAAAAAGAATAACATAGCAAATTTTACGTTATGTGTTTTTTACAATAAAAAAATTACATTTCTATAAACCAGCAAGCTTTAAAATGTAATTTTAAATAGGATAGCATAAACATCGAACACCATAAAGTACCTAGAAATACATCTAACAAAAGATGTGTGACACCTGTATGGCAAAATGTTTTTAAACTTGATTGAAAGATATTAAAGACTTGGCTGGGTGCGGTGGCTCACGCCTGTAATCCCAGCACTCTGGGAGGCCAAGCTGGGCAGATCACTTGAGTCCAGGAGTTCGAGACCAGCTTGGGCAACACAGCAAAACTCTGTCTCTACAAAAATTATAAAAAATTAGCTGAGTGGTAGCACATGCCTGTGGTCCCAGCTACTCAAGAGGATGAGGTGAGAAGATCGCTTAAGTCCAGCAGGCAGAGGTTGCAGTGCACTGAGATCATGCCACTGCACTCCAGCCCGGGCAACAGAGCAAGACCACGTCTCAAAAATAGAAAGAATATTCAATACCTAGACAAATGGAGTTATATGCATATTCTGGGTTAGAATAATCATTATGGCAAAGACGTCAATTCTCCCCTAAATAATCCATAAATTCAATGCAATTCAAATAAAAAAACCAACAGGGTTTTTCATAGACCTTGACAAAATCATCCTAAAATTTATATGAAAGAGCCAAAACACCCTGCAGGGAAAGAAAAAAAAAAAATCAGGTAGGAGGATTTGTCTTACCAGATAGCAAGCCTTAGCAATAAGTTAATCAGTGGAATTGGCACAGGATAGACAAACTGAAGAGAGAGCCCAAAACAGACCCATGCAGTTGAAAAACATTATGTCTCAGGTGGCAATGGCTGTTTCAGCTAAAATAAATTTATGATGTACAATTGTGACCCCCAGGTTGAAAAATAGTGACTTTGAGAAACTCTTCTTTTTTTTTTTTTTTTAGACAGGGTCTCACTCTTCCTCAGGCTGGAGTGCCGTGGCACAATCACGAATCACCGCAGCCTCAAATTCCTGGGCTCAAGTGATCCTCCCGCCTCAGCCTCTCCAGTAGCTGCTACTACACGCGCACGCCACCACACCCGGCTACATTTTTTTTTTTTTTTTTTTTTGAGACGGAGTCTGGCTCTGTTGCCCAGGCTGGAGTGCAGTGGCCGGATCTCAGCTCACTGCAAGCTCCGCCTCCCGGGTTCACGCCATTCTCCTGCCTCAGCCTCCCGAGTAGCTGGGAGTACAGGTGCCCGCCACCTCACCCGGCTAATTTTTTTTGTATTTTAGTAGAGACGGGGTTTCACCGTGTTAGCCAGGATGGTCTCGATCTCCTGAACTCGTGATTCGCCCGTCTCGGCCTCCCAAAGTGCTGGGATTACAGGCTTGAGCCACCGCGCCCGGCCTACATTTTTTAAATTTATTTTTTGTAAAGGGGGGGTCTCACCATCTTGCCCAGTCTGGTCTCAAACTACTGGGCTCAAAGGATCATCCTGCCTCAGCCTCTCAAAGTGCTGGATTACAGGTGTGAGCCACTGCATCTGGTGAGAAACTCTTGTACATGATGTGAACTGCTTTGTATTTATCAAATTACATGCCAAAGATAATAATCAATTACAGATAAGAGCTCTCATTTTTAAATCTTAAGACTTTTAGCAATGTTCTCCTGCTTATGACTCCTAAAAGCTGACAAACTGAACTCATCCGATGATCACGATAGGTGAAAAGCACTGGACCAGATCAGGACACAAGTGTTCTAATCCCCACTTGTTCTGTTTCCTCGTTTGTACCATGAAAGAGCTGGGCTAAAGCTCTGGTTCTTAAATGGGCTATCATGACACACTGATGTTTCAAAATCACGTATCAAGTGTGTCACACAAAGTAACCGCAGTTTGGGATATTTGAGAAATGAAGTTTGAGAAGGATATACTTTCTTCATTAAAGAACATTCAAGGCTCTCCGCGCCACATCACCACTCTGAACTCACTAGAGGTGCTTGTGGAGCACGAACAGGAGTGGGAGAGCACTTGCCAGTCAGTGTCACGAATATCTATGTATGCAAGCACCCCTCACATGAATACCATGTGTAGATCAGCAGAAGAAAAAGGTGTAAAAGTCGCTAAAGTCAAGAAGCTGCCTTTAAGGTGTGGCTTTTGGTGTAAACTTCTGATTTTCAGGGTAAAATGATGAAGTTGCTATATAAGGACAAATACTCTGAAAGTACATATATTAAATACATATTGAAATGCATTTAAAAGAGCTATTTCTACATAGTTAAACCTATACTGAGAAATGATAAATATGCTGGTCTATTCTGGTCTTAGAACATCATTAATGACTTTTTTTTTTTTTTTTTTTTTTGAGATGGAGTCTTGCTCTGTCACCCAGGCTGGAGTGCAGTGGTGTGATCTCAGCTTACTGCAACCTCTGCCTCCCAGGTTCAAGTGATTCTCCTGCCTCAGCCTCCCCAGTAGCTGGGATTAATAACATAGATGCTTTAAAGGAAACTTAACCAATCACAAAATGATACGTTAACTGATTGAACTCCCTAGCAATGTGAAGAAAGTGTTACACCTACCTGTACTAGAAAGGGGGAGAAATAAGAGAGGTCTGATGGAAAGAAAACAACTGGTGCGATCAAGGGAAAGGCAGGGAAGGGAGAATGGAGCAGCAACTATCACATACCAAACGTGCCAGGAGCTTTACCCACATTGTGCCTGTGAGTCACCCCACAACAGCCCTGTGAGGAAAGCACTATTACAACCTTCATTTTACTAACTGGGACACCCAAGGCTCTGCGAGCTGAAATAACTTGTTACAAGGCCTTTCCACTACTCAATGGAAGGCTGGGGATCACACAGGGTTGCAAAGCCATAGTCTCTGTACTGCTGCACTGACAAATCTGCTGAAGCGACCATGAAGTGCCACTTTTAGTTTCAGCACACAAACACAAATAATGGAAAATATTTGCTTTTGTTACACAGATACCATAGCAAACTGCCAGCTTCCATAAAATATAATCGTGGCCACGTGTGGTAGCTTGTGCCTGTGATCTGAGAACTTTGGGACGCTGAGGCAGGAGGATGACTTGAGCTCAGGAATTCAACATCTACCTGGGCAACATAGTAAGAACCCATCTCTACAAGAATAAATTTTAATTAGCCAGGCGTGGGGGCTCATGCCTGTAGTCCGAGCTACTTTGAAGGATGAGCTGGGAGGATCACTTGAGCCTGGGAGGTCCCAGCTGCAGTGAGCCATGATCACGCCACTACTCCAGCCTGGGCAAGAGTGAGACGCTCTCTCAGAAACACTCAGGTATGAGAACCAGAACTTTCAAATATGGCGAGGCCAAGTTTCTCCCAGACCTATTTGGAAGCGATTCATCATGATGCTCTACCATAAGAGCAGCTACGGCAGGAAGCAGCAGCTGTGGGACCAGGTGAGGTGGGTGGGAGGCTTGGAGAAATTGGAAAAGTCCATTTCTAGACCCCAGGACAGAGAGCATAAGGCCAGAGGGTCTTCAATTCATCACTTGCCAGGTCCCATCCTGTGTGGTCACATTCTAAACTCCATCCCACCCTTGGTGATTTGTGGCAGGACAGGCAACTGCAGAGTACTAGTGGCCAGGAGACCTCTGCTCTCCCCTTTCTTGCTCCTTAGCAAGCTGTGTACCCTCATCAAGGACTTAACCTCTCTGGTCCCAAACCTCTCTTTCCCCCACGTCACAGAATAGGCTCATCGAAAGGCCCAGGACTAGCAGTCTGAAGAAATGATATCAACAAGGGCAGGGACACAGTCAATCTGGTACGCAGTGTCACGCTGTACTTGCTGAATAAGACTAAATTAGCTTCAGTACACTTATTTATAAAAAGTGGAAATGGTAACTACCTGCCAACCCCAACTGGTTCCTCTGTCAATCAAATGTAATGGGTGGGACAAGCTATACCAATGGATGACATCACTATCTCATAATGTAACAAAAATATCAGTGCCAGAGGGAGTATTATAAGGAAACTGACACTCAGCAACGTTTAATGAGTAACCTAGATTAGCAACTTCACATTCACTGAGTGATTTCACATCCAGTGTGGCATCTAGTCCACATTTTCAGTGTAAATCCCACTATGAACGACTTAAAGCAAATCATTTCATCATTTGTTCTGAACCTCTGTTTCTTCATCTGTAAAAAGAGAATGTGGGCCGGGCATAGTGGCTCAGGCCTGTAACCCCAGCATTATGGGAGGCCAAGGTGCGTGGATCCCCTGAGGTCAGGAATTCAAGAGAAGCCCGGCCAACATGGTGAAACCCCATCTCTACTAAAAATACAGAAATTAGCCGGGCGCAATGGGGCATGCCTGGATCCCAGCTACTGGGAAGGCTGAGGCAGAAGAATCGCTTCAACCAGGGAGGCAGAGTTTGCAGTGAGACGAGATGGTGCCACTGCACTCCAGCCTGGGTGACGGGGCGAGACTCTTGTCTCAAAAAAAAAAAAAGAGAGAATGTGCTCCATCTCTTCTGTTTGCCCCCTCCAAACACACCCTACCCTCTCCTCCCTGCCCTGTGTCCCCGAGTATAGACCCCATATACAGGTTTTCTGGCTCTCCAGCTTCCAGATGGGTCTGCCCAGCAGAAGGCACCAGCAGGAGAAGTTTGGTGGAAGGAAGAAAGGGAGGTCAAGGTATTTCTTCCCCCACCCCAATCCTTGACAGGAAACTGGGGCTGCATCCCTTGAACAAAGTTATCAGCAGGTCTCAGGTGCCCTCTCCACACAACTCAGATCATTCCCTTCACCCCTTCAGGCCCAAAGATGGACACCAGGTTCTGGAGTTACTAGCCATGGGATACTAAACCTTCACTCCTGATTTCCCTACCCACACCCTTACTTTCTCTCAGATCATCCTAATCTAAATGTGCCACCTATTTCCTGCTGAGATCCTGGATTATACAGTAGATATCACCACCTCGTAAGGTTACAAACGAGAGACCATGTTATGACTAGATGCTAGGCACTGGGCTATAGATACTGTTACAACAATTATATTATGCAGACATTGTTGCTCCCAATCTGCAGATGAGGAAGCCGAGAGGATCAGAGAAATTAAGAAATTCTCACAAGGACATACAAGGGTGGAACAGCTAGAACTGAGGCCTTAACCTCCAGAACCAGCAAACCTTTCCATTTCTATTATCACCATCGCGGTCAATATTTTTCCTACCACAAGTTTCATCACCGCCGTCATTCCTACACAACAAAGTAACAGTCTCTTGTGAATGAGTGTATTTCTACTGTTGGACGTGTGGCTACGAGGGGGAGTTCTGGAATGGGATCAAAGTACGAGGCCTGACTTGCAGGAAGTATTATCTTGAGCAAGAGACTTTCCTCCACGAACCTCAGTTTCCTCCAGTAAAATGGGGATAGATAACAGGGCTTCCTTCACAGGGTGGTGAGGAGGATTCAATGGGATAACATTTGCAAAGCACCGGGCACGCAGTAAGCACTCAAATGACAGGAGCTACGGTTATGAAAAAGGGGTTTGCAGCCTTGGCGGCTTTATGGCCGCCGAGGACTAGGGAGGCGGGCCAGGACACGGGGACCTGAGGACCTGAAAGACTGGAAGGTGCCCGCTGCCCACCCCCGGGCCCACCTGCTCCTCCAGTCTCTCAATCTCCAGCTGGTTCTTCTCCTCCTCTTCGTCATATTCCCACTCGTACTCCCCGGGGGAGCTCTCCGCGGAGGAAGCCATGGCGTACTCATCCCCATCGCTCTCGCTCACGCCTTCCTCCTGCTGATCCCACCCTGGCCCCACGGTCTTGTATGTCGCAGCGGCCACAGCCCGCGATAACACCTTCCTTCTTGTCCTCGCCGCCTTAACCTCATCCTCCTCTCCGTCAGCCTTGGGCCCAGCCTTGGACTCAGCCTCGGGTTCTGAAGCCGAGGTTGCGGCCGCAGTCGCCATCTTGCGCTTCTAATGACTCTCGGGTCTTCCCGCGGCCGCCAAAGACCCGCTGAGGCAGAAGCTGCCCGCGGCGCGCGCCTTATCAAAAGCCCGTTTTCTTGACACTGAAAGGGAAACTGGGAACCTTAGATAACGAGAAAATCTCCAAATACACTAAATTCATTTTATTTTATACCCCTGTAAAAACTCCCACCAGAGAAAAAACTCATTATCATGGCATACGTTCCGTCACAACTTCGGACAGAAGTTGGGTCTTTGGGCAGGAAGTGGAGGCCATAGAGGAAGTCATGGAGCGAGCGTGGTGTCTGTAGTAAAGAATTTGGCGCCATCTTGAGAAGGTCAAAGTGATTCTTAGAAAAAATACCTTACTTATCGCCTAGTGTGACCTGGCGCTTGGGTTTAGTCTCCCCAGCAACTGCACCTCAAACGCAAAGAAAACTGCAGGTCCTCGGGGAAGGATCGATTTCACCATTCAAGAGAAAAATCCATTTCCCAAAGAAATTCTTCCCCTTTATGTAAACATCTGGTACCTAGGAGGCGTTAAATACACTTGAGTTTTCCGGTTTTATAAGCTCACATACTGCAAACCAACAGTAAATACGCATTTCTTTAGAAATTCTTAATTGCTAGGCACCGACATATAAATTGAATTTGCTGTTGTTTTAGAGAGAAAAATAGACATATACTCATTTTTTTTCAATCAGGACATGGTGTTCGTTTCCTTCTTAAGCTTCCCATTGTTGAGGTAGGCAAGTACTGGAGTGTGTCTCTATCTCTACCTTGCTCCCTCATTAGCAAGCTTAATAGGCAGGAATTACGTCTGTTTTGCTTTCTGTTGGATCCCCGGGTCTAGTAGAGTGCCTTGACACATAGTAGGTACTCGACACAGATGCTGGCTTCATGATGAAGGAATTGTCCTCGAATTAATACAAAAGGGAAGATTCAGACTTAGCAAGCCGGTACCATTTGTCTAGGGACACACAGCCAGGAAGGAACCGAACCAGGATTCTAACCCAGGACTACCCAAGTTCGAATTCTAATTGAACCTAAGCCCTAAGCGACCTTGGACGGAGTGACCAAACTGCCCTGAATCTCAGCTTCCTTAGCTGCAAAATAGGGTTAGGAAAAGTGGACTCAGTGGTCCTCTGCGCCGCATTCCCACACTGCAGAAGCCTGAGATCCTCTCTCAACCAGAATCCAGCACCCAGGACAAGCCCTCTAGCGACTTCAGACCTTCCCGCTCCCGACCCCGCCCGCCCCCGAGAGGCGTGGTCAAGGCGGGGCCACAGGGCGGAGGCTTGCACGGAACGGTAAGGCGCAGGCGCAAAGCCTCGGTGACGCCAGAGAGGCGCGCTCCCAGCTCGGCGCCGACTCGCAGACGCGCCCCGCCCCTCGGCATCGCTCTGGACTGGCGCAGGCGCAAGCCGGCAAGATGGCGGCAGCTGGAGCTGGCCGTCTGAGGCGGGCAGCGTCGGCTCTGCTGCTCCGGAGCCCCCGCCTGCCCGCCCGGGAGCTATCGGCCCCGGCCCGACTCTATCACAAGAAGGTAGGGACAAACGAGGGGACACGCGGAATGCCGACTCGGGGGAGGCCTGGGCTGGAGCGGCGGCCGCGGGGTTCTACGCAGCCAGGACTAGCTGTCGCCTCCCACGTCTTTGCCCTGACTCACTTTCCCTTGCTGCGCAATGAGGCTCACTGCAACTGATAAACAACAGTTACCGCTCATCGGGCTGCGACTTCCAGGGGGCCCCGCCGCTGGCCGCGACTTCGTGCGTCCCAACTTTAAATTCGCCAACAGCCCAGGAGGCAGGGTCCTGTCGGGACTTGTCTTTTAGAGTCCAGGGACAGACACACCCCCGGAGCGGGCTCCGGCTTCAGCCACGCTGCTGCCCTGGCCAGATGACCTTGCGCTAGTCACTGCGCCTCTCTGAACTTGTTTCCCCAGGTGTAAATGAGGACTCTTAGCTGTCTCTTACAAAGGATACTGTGCATGGAGTCCTGTCATGGTTCCTGGCACATAGGCCCCAGCACGAGGAGACCGTCTCTGTTACTGCTTTAGGAGTGCATAGGGGAGTCAGGCTTGTAACCAACATGCGTAGTGTTTTTGTTTTGTTTTGGGGGTTTTTTTGGCGGGGAAGGAGGGATAGATGCATAGTTTGCAGCCCCTTGCTGTCTGGTGACGCAAAGTCCCCCAGACGTGAGACTCCCACTCTAGAAACAAAGAATGCCATAAATCAACGTGGCACAAAAAGTCCCTCCGTTAGATACTATCCTATAGGGGCCTTTACTTGGAGTCAAAATCCTTAGTCAGATGGGGAGGAAAAGGGGACTGGAAGATCGGGGTGCTTACTACTAACCAGTAACCACATTAAGGCCTTCTGTGTGCCAGTTCGAATGGATGTTGATTCTGATCTGGCCTCTGCCCTTTCTCCAAGGGCTTCTTCACTCCTCCCCCTCCCGGCGGTGTGTTTCGTTGAGGGTACACCCCGAGGAAACTTGGACTAGCAGCCTTTCAGCAGCCAGGGTGCGCTGCTGCACCAGGGTGATGACAGGCTCTGAAATACGGTAATGGCACTGTTTTTATTTTGAAAGACACATAAACGTACACATTCCATAGCATTGTTCTCTGTGTAACAGTCACCTTAAGGCTTCTAAAAGTTTTCCCTTCCTGGGCCATAGTTATTTTTAGAATTTTTAAATAGTAATCATCCTTTGAGGATAGTTTTTATTTGAAAATAACAAAACTGCTGTTTGAGCCCAAGTCTGGTGATGTAGGTGGGTAAAAGTCAAGTATTTTTGTAAAAACCCTATGGAATTAAGACATGATTTCACTGATATTTTTTTCTTCTAGGTGTCGCTAATCTGTGAAGTAGTTGTAGAGGAGACACAAAAGGAATTGGGGGTCACAAATGGTTCTCACTGACATGAGTGTAGACCTTTCTACTCAGGTGAAATTTGGTGATTGCCTGCCAGGTTCAAGATGCTGACTTCCAGGAGCTTGCCACCATACCAGAGACCAGCACCAATAGAGAGTGAACACGATTTATCTTAACCCTCTCATTTTAGGTTGTTGATCATTATGAAAATCCTAGAAACGTGGGGTCCCTTGACAAGACATCTAAAAATGTTGGAACTGGACTGGTGGGGGCTCCAGCATGTGGTGACGTAATGAAATTACAGGTATGGCTAGTCTTTAATAGTGATAACAATAATCCCTTTAAGTTTACAAAGCACTTGCACATACAGCATTTCACTCGGTCTCCATCTTTATTCCTGTGAGATGGGATGAGTCCATGTTAGACATGATTGGAACAGGGCCTCAATCGTAGCTCTCCTGCTAGGCTAGTGTACTATGCCGACTTTTTCCGAAATAGAAAAGTAATCTCATTTTTGTACTCACTGTATAAGTTTAAATTCCAACTTCAGCCAACGAAAGAGTTTTGTAAATTTTACTGATCAAAGGAAAATCCCAGTGAGCTAGCAGTCCCCAATGAGATAAGAAACACAGTAAATTAAACCTGTCCCCAGATTGGGAGCAACATGAAGATAGTGTCTAGTGCTTTGGGTAAACTGTTGTTGTAGCGCCAATCTGCTGCTTCATGGTGAGTGGGCAGCTTGCCAGAGATCTTCATACCTATCTTGGAATACAGAAACAAAACAGGAGGAAACCACTAAGTATAATCTGCTGCCCAAGAAAAAAGTATTAACCAGAGACCTTTATTGTGTACTCTCTCAGTGTTTAAGAGGCAGATTGCCCCAGCAGCTGTGAGCAGACTGCCTCAAATAGAAGTTCATAGCCAAAATGCAAGCCAGAGTCGCAAAACAAAATAATATTGGGGTGGAGGAACATATTTTTCAGCTGATCTTTGTCAGTTGGGCCTGGATAGTTGTCCCTGCATTTCACTTTTCATCACTGAGCTCTCTGAAACAAGGCAAAATCAGTAATTAATACCATCACTTAGTATGGAAAGCAAGCCCAAAGCCCTTGGGGAAGGCCCCAGTGAAACTTCGTGAGTGCCAAGTTCCAGAGGGTGGTCCTAGGACTCACCACTTAACTCTTGTCTCTTTTCTAGATTCAAGTGGATGAAAAGGGGAAAATTGTGGATGCTAGGTTTAAAACATTTGGCTGTGGTTCTGCAATTGCCTCCAGCTCATTAGCCACTGAATGGGTGAAAGGAAAGACGGTAAGGTTGCTCACAAATCTGACAGAATGAAATTGCATTCACCCCAAGCCTGTCTCTTGACGGGTCTAATGGGTCAAAAACAACCATAACTTTTTTTTAATATTCTGAATTTTTAAAGTTTCTGCTATACAGATGTTGATTATATTAATTCTTCAAATTGGGAATTATAGATCATTCTAGATGATGTTTGGGTTTTTTTCTTGTTGATCATTTTGTTTGTTTGTTTGGGTGTTAATTACATACAAAAAAGATCCTCACCTGTCCCTCTAACAAAATAGAATTTAGAAGAAATCTTTGGCTTTCTCTAAGGTTACCAATACTCTTATAATTTGTCAAGTCAGAGAGTTGTTATATGGTAGTTATTTTCTTGCTTATTTCCTCTCATGTTTCAGGAAGGGTTCTAGGTGGCTTACAAGGATTGGTGAAATAAACTAGCGTGTGTTAAAAGAGGGATTAAAGAATCAAAAACACAGCAAGGGTAGGGGCAAAGTGAACAACGAAATCAGAACAGTGATCCAGGTGGCTGATCGCAAGCCCTCTAAAGGCAGAGATAATAAAGAGCTAGAACTTCTCTTTCATCCCTTTCTCTCCGAAGTGTCTTTCCCTGGTAGCTGCAGAGGTCAAAGGTCCCAAAAGCAGTGAAGAGCTGGACTTTCTAAAATCCAGTTGCTGTCAGAACCTCTCAGAAAAGCCAACCATCATGGCACTCATCTTTGCTGCCCCAAGGGACCAGGTGCAGGGAGCTGAGTCATAGAGGAGCATGCTTGGGAGCTGGCCAGCTCCACGGCAGAGCGGTTTGCCAGGCCACGTGCCACCTGCTTCCTGTGGCTCACGGCCTTCTGGCTGGCAAGCTCCTGTGGGCCAGGAAGCTCAGACCTAACCTGCTCTGGCAGGAGGTAGCCCTGAAGTGGTTTGTCAGGAACTGTCCTCAGGTGAAGGGAGAAATGAGACAAGGCACTTATGCTCCCAGAACCTGGCTCTTAGGGGACTGTGAATTGTGATCAGAAAATGGGAGAGAGAACATTTCTTTAACCTTTAAACTGAGATCGCCTATCTGAGTTTCAGGAGCAGAACCTGAATCAGCCAAGAAGGGTTAGCAGAATTGGGAAATTGAACGATAGTCAGACATAGCAAAGGAGCCCAGCTGTTAGGAAATCTGGTTTTCTGTAAGGCGGTGGGGCACTGTTCCACATGGGCGAGGATCTGTTTGCCTCACATTATCCCCCCCGGGCTGTCAACCAGACCCCAGGCGTCCTCCTCAGTTGATCTGGAGGAGCTGCTCCTATAGGCAAAGGGTGACACCAGAGAGAGCGTTCAGCCCGACCCGGCTGTGCCACTGCCACTGTGCCACTTACCTGACATCTTCCCAACCTCTCTGATGCCATGTGGCACTTCTAGTCAAAAGGATTTATTCTAACATTTCGTATGAGGACATCAGAGAAGCTGATATTCACAAAACCAGTATCGGAAATCACTACCTTTTAAGGAAAAGATTCCTGACACAGGCCACAAGCAGATCCCTAAGAGACTTCTCACCGGTTCCACTCCTGGCTTAGAGAAGTGTCTGGGCGGTCTTTGCTTACCCAAGCCAGGCAGTGCAGCTGTGTATACTTCATGCTTGCGAATCCCAGCTGCAGCTTTGATAGAGTGGGAGTCATCCTGAGAAGACCCTCAGCCCTTTGAGTTATTAAACAGAAATTATCCCCACCAACCCCGAGGGCCTTTTTGGCCTCCCTTTTTTATTGTCTGGCCCTCACAAGATAAAGCGTTGCTAAAACTGCCCGTCTTTCCATTATGCCTCTCAGGTGGAGGAAGCCTTGACTATCAAAAACACAGATATCGCCAAGGAGCTCTGCCTGCCTCCCGTGAAACTGCACTGCTCCAGTAAGTCTCTGCTTTCCATACCAGTCAGCTGGGACATTTGGCAGTAATTTCAACTTGCATTTGCAACAGTCCTTTTAGGTCATGGAGCCCATGTTTATAACCCTCAGAATTAGAGCTCATGAGTCTGTCCTTACAACCTGCAGAGGGTTAGAGCCCCCGTGGTCTCACATTCATCCCTAAGAAAATCATGCCAGAAGGAGATATGCACCAGCCATCATACTGAGCACTTGATGGGCATCATTTCTAAACCTCACAGATATCCTTGAGTGCACAGTCGATGTCATTACTTTCCTCTTATGGATGAAGGAGCTGAGGCTTGGGTTGAGACACCCACGTCACATGGCTAATAAGTGGGAGAGCCAGAATTTAAGCTCCAATCTTTGATTTCAGAATCTGCTGTTTCTAGCAGAGGAGAAAACTCAGCTTTCTCCATAATCCCGTTTCCTGTGTATTTCTTCACTTCCTGTCTGGATGCTATAACTGTCAGGGTCTGCATCTGTATATATGGCACAACTAAGCCCAGTTGTACAATGTCCCCCTCTCTGCTATCCTAAAAAAAAGCTCAGATGCCTTAAGACTTGTACTTGGCTTTCCAGTTTGGTCTCTGTATTAAATCTAATGCTTTTTCCATCATTTCTTAACCTTCTCAGGGAAAGAAGGAATGAGAAACATTAGCCTTAATGCATCGATGGAGGTTTACTAACCAAATTAGTTAAAAATCAGCAGAGAGTCAGGCCTCTTGCCAGGGTAATACTCACAAGGAGAAGAGCCAGGTGCCGGGGCAGACACACTAACTCATTCTTCAGGAAGCCTGGTCAGACCCAAGTTCTTTCCACTTGATCTGGAATTTTAAGTACCCATAAAGAAAGGTCATCACTTGTAAACATTTTCACATGGTTTCAGGAAATCCCTAGCCCTTTTATTAGGCATTTTTAGGTACTGAAACCTTTAGCTGATGTTCTCTGCTATTTGCTTGCTTTCTGCTGTCATTCCAGCTCTCTTGGTTTTTATTTTCCCCATAGCCTCACTTTGAATATTGACTCCTAAATAAAAGTGGTCAAACTCTCGATCACTAGAGGGTGATGTGGCAAATGCCATCCCATCAACAGATTGACATGATCTTTTTTCCAAAGGTCATGTCAACTTTTTATCATGATATGATTTTGTCCAAAGCCAGACTTTGATGGGAGCAGGCAAGAACTAACATTTGCTATGTCCCTACTATGTGTTAGACATCTTCCGTAAGTCCCCACACTATCCTGGCAAGAAAAGCATGATTATCCCAGTTCTATAGAGTAGAAAGTAGGTTCGAAGAGGCTAAGGAACTAGCCTGGGATCACAGATATTTAAACCCTAGTCTGTCTCCAGGATTACCCACAGGAGTAACTCAGCTCAGTAAGTAGCTGCTGACCTGCCCGGCAACTCCTCACCCCAGCTTTCTGTCTTGGTTACCCCGTTAGTCCCCACCAGCACCACTTCCTCTAAGCTCTTAAAGATTCTATTCCCAAAACCACTTCTTTCGCATCTAGAAACTTAGGCTTCTTTCCTTCCGTTACCTGTAGTGCTGGCTGAAGATGCAATCAAGGCCGCCCTGGCTGATTACAAATTGAAACAAGAACCCAAAAAAGGAGAAGCAGAGAAGAAATGAGCCCTCCCTGGGCGAAGCCTCCAGCAGGCCACACCCCTGTTTCCCACCTGCCGTGCAATCACCTTAGATGTTCAGAAGCCGCTCCCTCTCCACTGAAGAGCTATGAGATACGCACAATACTTGCTGTTCACATTATGACTCTCATGCAAGCAAAATACACAGTTTCATTGTTCTGAATCCCGTGGTTTCTTTCAGTCCACTTTTATCGCCTTAACCTAGTTAATGTGTATTTTGAATTGTGTGTATGACCTCAGAACTGAAATTGATAAGTTGCAAATGTTGATAGCCCATGAAGTACGTAAGTATCTAATTTTACCTGAATTGATTTGGAGGGAAATTACCAGTAGAATGCCTTTGTCTGAATATTTGATAGAACTAATTGTTGTACATAAAACAGATCTGCATATATATAAAAAATAATAATAAAACAATGGAAGATAATGGTGTTCTCTAATAAGCCTTGTCTCTTGGGCCCATCATTCACTCCAAAGTGGTGCCCAAAGCCCCTTGGGGTTCCCAGATGTTGGACCGCAATGACATACACAGCTCTCCAAGCAAACAACAGTAAAGGTCATGTACAAGATTTTTTCCAAAGACAAATACACATAATATTTTTTTGGAACAAGGATGAAAGGAGATGATTATCGCTTTTCATTGTTCTTTGTGAGATAATAGTTGACAGCTCGAAGTGAGTCTTGAAGATTCTTTTTGTGATTTCACTGGTTGCTCAAATCTAAGAAGCATTGGCTTAGCACCCTAAAGATACGTGAAGAGCACCTCGGGAATGAGTTTAAAATGCAGATTTCTAGGCCCAAGTTTCTGACTTCTGTCTGGGCAGGTAATTCCAGAGCCCCTGACTTTTAAGAACCACTTTAAGAACCAAGGTCATAGATGAGCCGAACTTTAGGGAAGAAACTTCTGAATGCTCTGTTCTGCATCGGTGTAGTATGTAACTGGTTCATTCTGAACTCTCTGTACCTGCATAGTACACCTAAGGTTGTTTAAAAAACATTCATCCAGCCGGGCGCGGTGGCTTACACCTGTAATCCCAGCACTTTGGGAGGCCGAGGCGGGTGGATCACGAGGTCAGGAGTTCAAGACCAGCCTGGCCAACATAGTGAAACCCTGTCTCTACTAAGAATACAAAAATGAGCCAGGCGTGGCGGCATGTGCCTGTAATCCCACTACTCGGGAGGCTGAGGCAGGAGAATCGCTTGACCTGGGAGGCAGAGGTAGCAGTGAGCCAAGATTGCACCAGTGCACTCCAGCCTGCAAGACAGAGCAAGACTCTCTCAAAAAAAAACCAGACAAGCATTCATCCCTGGCGTGGGCATAAGTCTAAGCACGGTTCCTCCTACCCTGATGTCTCCCTATTCTTAGCTACCTGTAGTCATGCAAATCTCAATAAAGGATGCCCTATCTTCTAGTGAAAATGGGTGATTGAAATATTGACTCCCATAGTCTCAAATGTTCAACTTCAAAAGTAAGATGTGTTTGTTTTTTCTGGTGGTGGTTTTTTGTTCAGGCATAGGCTGGCTGCCTCTTAAATATGCCTCCCTTACTTTTTTTGTTTTTTTTTTTGTTTTAATGCTCTGGGTTCTGGTGGAGGGCGCAGAACTTCAAAGACTGTTCCCTGTGTAGTCTGTGACGGCAGCCACAGACCAGGGACTTTATAGGAATCTCAAATTAGAACCCTGGGTAGAACCATGTAAAATTGTCGTGTGTGGCATGTTCTGCAATTTAATTCACAGTCCCTCTAGACTGAGCTTGTCTCTCCCTTGTTTATTACATGTGGCACCACCACAATTCCCCACCACTTTTCTTTGTGATTTTTTTTAATTTAAATGAGACATTTCTGTCCCAGTTAACGTCCTCAGAGTTGACATCAGGAGGAGCTTATAAACAACCGAAGCAATATTCCCAGAAGAGCCCAAGTCTCCAAACGTGGTTGTGCTGCTAAAACGAATGGATATTTTTTAAACTCACATTAAAGACACCCTTTCCCAAGACAAATCTAGTTAGAGCCACACGAGGGCATCATGTGCCCTTCAGTGAGCTCAAGTCTAGGGGTTTTGCAGCCTCCAAATAGGTCTTAGCATCTCTAAATAAACCCCTCCATGGAAAACCTCCACAGGTAAGTTACAACCGTCTGTTAAGCATCCGTGCCCTGTGCCAGGCCCTTACATTTGTAATCCTGTTAATTCTCATGACAGCCCCCTGCGGTGGGCATTGTTTCAGACAAGAATACTGACTCAAGAGGCCAACTGACCCTCAAGCCAGCTGGCTTGAGTTGAGTGACCCAAAGCCCATTCTTCTGCCTTACCCCTCCTGGCAGAACACACCAGGGATTCAAACTGCATATCTGAGGTTCACCTGTGCCTTGAACATTGAATGAAATAGCTGAACCAACACAGGTTGAGCCTGATGCATCCACTTGGCCAACTGGCTGCCAAGCACCATGGCCCTCACGCCAACCCTGGCTCCTACCAGGAGCCTAATTAAATTCTGAAGCCAAGTTAAAGCCAGTGCTCTGGAGGTGGGGCCTGGGCACTGGCATCACCTGATGGGCTGGGTGAGTTTATGGGTGGATGGATGAATGGATGGACGGGGAAGCAGAGGCTCCGAGAGGTGAAATGACTTGCCTCAAGGCACACAGCTAGGAAGTGGTAGAATCAAGCTCTGGCTGAGCTCTTCTGCTCACCTCCCACCCTCTCCTGGGTGCCACACTACAGCTATGACCACATCTCAGATGTAACCTTTCCTCAGCGTGATTCCTGGACCAGGGCTACCCGGGACCACATCCAAATGCACAGTTCTAGAACTTACATTAAGCATTGTCCTGTAAAAACTACTTGGCCCTAGGGTGAGTTTTCTTAAAAAGACAAACAAATGAGGCGTACTTCTCAATACTTCAGGCCCTTTGAACTTGAGGCAGAGTGCAGACCTTGTGTCTATCCTCACGACAGAAGAGAAGACTTCTAGGTCCCGCCAAGTTTTGGTGGCGTTAGAGAACTCCTGCAGATGAGTTCCAGCCAATGGCTCTTTGTGGCCTGTCTGCTTGCTTTCCCCACCCTCCGAGATAATATCAGCCAACGCCTCAAAAGGCCACCTCCCCAGAGAAGATCATCTCCACCCAGGGAGGAAGCAGCAGGGCAGAGTGGGGTGAGCTTGGAGTGTTGAATCAAATGCTGGCTACTGTTGTGTAACCCTGAGCAAAAGGATCCACCTCCTCAAGCCTCAGTTTATTCATCTGCAAAATGGGAACAATAATAGTACCTACCTGATCAGGTAGACCTGACGATTAAATGAGATAATACATGGAAAGCACATGGCACATAGAGTTCATTATTAGGCCAGGTACAGTGGCTCATGCTTGTAATCCCAGCACTTTGGGAGGCCAAGGCAGGAGAATTGCTTGAGCCCAGGAGTTTGAGACCAGCCTGTGAGGCAGGATAGGTAGTCAAGGAAGTGACCGTGTCCTCAAGATGCAGCATCCGTGGTGACTATACAGTCAACACAACAAGCCTCAGCATTCGCATTGTAATTGAGCTCACTCAAGCAAAGTGATCTTCAGTAGGGACTTTCCTCTCTAGAAAGCATACGCACTTTGATTTTACTGTCCTCAAACTGACCCTTTGTGCATTAAAAGAGTAAAAAACACACCCCTAGGTGGAGATTTAAGATGCTAATGAGACATGCAACATATGAACAAGCACGTACAGCTACTGTGCATGGGCACTGAGAGGACCACCCAGAACATGCTTACTAGTAATGCCTCTCTCAACCCCTTATGAATAATCATGTAAAACCCCCTCAAAGGGAGTCTCCCAGCAACAATCAATGCTGTCTTATCCTTACAAGCAGTCTGCCCTGAATCCCGTCTCTCTCAGGGTGTCCTGTCCTTTCTGTACCTAACTTTCAAAATGTTCTTTTTCCTCTGCAATAAATTACTCTATGCTGCACCTCCCCTTTGCTATGTGTCTCTTGTCTATATTCTTTTAAACTAAGAAGGCAAGAACTAAGATCTCGCAACAGCTGTCAACACCCAGGCAAGATGGCAAGACCCCTTCTCTACAAAAGCACCACTGCCCTCCAACCTGGGTGAGAGAGTGAGACCCTGTCTCAAAACAAAAAAAAAAAAAGAAGAAGGAGAAGGAAGGAAGGAAGGAAGGAAGGAAGGAAGGAAGGAAGGAAGGAAAAGGAAAGAAAAGAAAAGAAGAAGGAGGAGGAGGAAGGAGAGAGAGGGAGAGAGAGAGAGAAGACAGAAAGAGAGAGAGAGAAAGAAAAGAAAGAAAGAAAGAAAGAAAGAAAGAAAGAAAAGAAAAGAAAAGAAAAGAAAAGAAAGAAAAAGAAAGAAAGAAAGAGGAAAAAAATAGTTCATTGCTGTTGAGGTGGTTCTCATTATTATAGGTAACACTTCAGCCCTGACTACATCCTGGGCACTGTTGCTGGGTATTTTACAGAGGTCAGCTCATTTGCCTCACAAAAATCCTAAAATACTATCAATATCCCATTTTATAGGTAGAGAAACTAAAAGGTAAAGTGATGTGTCAGCAAATGGTAAGATCAAGATTCTAGCCCAGAGCTGTTTGATCCAGAGCACAAGCACCCTGCATGCTATGACTGTATTTTCTCTACTGCTATTTTCACTATTACTATTTGCATTGGTATTATTACAGGCACACCTCAGAGATGTTGCAGGTTCAGTTCCAGATCACTGCAATAAAGTAAATGCTTCAATAAAACGAGTCACACAAATTTTCCCAGTGCATATAAAAGTTATGTTTACACTAAACTGGAGTCTATTAAGTGTGCAATAGCATTATAGCTTAAAAAAAAAAAAACCGATGTGCATACCTTAATATAAACATACTTTATTGCTAAAAAAAAAAAAAAATGCTGACAGTCATCAGAGCCTTCGGTAAGTCATTATCTTTTTGCTGGTGGAGGGTCTTGCCTCAATTTTGACAGCTGCTGACTGATCAGGCTGGGAGTTGCAGAAGGTCAAGGTGGTTGCAGCAATGTCTTTTTTTTTTTTTTTTTGAGATGGAGTCTCGCTCTGTCCCCCAGGCTGGAGTGCAGGGCTGCGATCGATCTTGGCTCACTGCAAGCTCCACCTCCGGGGTTCAAGCAATTCTCCTGCCTCAGCCTCCTGAGTAGCTGGGATTATAGGCATGCGCCACCATGCCTGGCAAATTTTTTTTATTTTTAATAGAGATGGTGTTTCACCATGTTGGCTGGTCTTGAACTGCTGACCTCAGGTGATCCGCCCTCCTTGGCCTCCCAAAGTGCTGGGATTACAGGCGCGAGCCACTGCGCCCAGCCATAATTTCTTAAAATAAGACAACAGTGAAGTTCATTACTTTGATTGCCTTTTCCTTTCACAAAAGATTTCTCTATAGCCTGTGATGT